TTCATTATGGTTTCTTGGTCATGGCCTTAACCATACCATACAGTTTGCAGATCACTCCTGCATGCAATCTGCCTTTGAAATCTCTTCGTGGTGGGGGGAAGATTGTTATTGTGAATCTTCAGGTATTCTATCTCTGTTTGAGTATTTGCATGAATCTTTAAATAAAAAAATGTGAAATTATACCTTCCTTTTTTCTTAAATCAAGGTAAAAGCTGATATTGTATAGTTGATGTATGATGAATGTGCTTAATAAGATGCATCATAATTCCTAATCTTTGAGGGGTGAAGTTCCCTGAATCATGATCCTCTAGATACAAAGTGTAAGGATAAAATGGGACCCTAAAGGGCTTGCAAATTGTCGATATGGAATTCTGCTGTGGATAAAAGCTTCACAGTGAGCTCTGAAGCGAGCTCTGGACAGAAAATCTTACCTTGGTAGAGATTTTTTATCTATTAGTACTTTTTAAGGCCTCATGCCAAAAATGCTACTATATTTTGCAAATGCTTAATTGTTATTGATTGAAGGGAAAAAAAAATATCATGCTAAAAAGCTAAGCAAGTACATGTGAGTTGTTAACTTTCCCGACTGTTCCATTTGCTGTTGGTTTGATATTGTGCTGGATGGCATCAATGTTTTTATAATGTCTTTTATTCACCTTTGCAGCAAACTCCAAAGGACAAGAAAGCAAGTTTGGTGATCCATGGCTTTGTAGATAAGGTATCGTAAGAGCTTTAATGTACTGTTTATTTATCTTACAATTGAACCTGTCTCTATTTATCTGCTCAATCTCTGTGCTTTCTAAGAATACTGGTTAGCTATTGCAATATGCTTAACTTGAAAAAAAACAGGTGATTGCAGGAGTCATGGAATGGCTTAATATGCAGATTCCTCCATATATCAGGATTGATCTCTTCCAGACTATTCTAACTCAGTCCCTAAGTTCTGGTAACATTTTCAATAAAATGATCCAATTCAATTCTTTTATACAAGATATAGAAAAGAATTTGTTTGCATATACAAGTTATACTTTTTAAGATTATGCTAGAATCTTTTCGATGAGAAAGAATGCATCTTATATGCCACTGACTTAATATGAAAATATACATGGTGTAATCTTTGTATATTGAAATTCTTTAGATAAAGCCTGGTGTTTGGTATATTGTCTGTGGGGAAGCCCTTTTCTTAGAGCTGTATGGCGTAGTTAAGTCTGTTTTCTCATCATTTTTTAAACAGTTTAGTTAAATTCTTTCCCCATAGAAATATCTGTATGGGTTTATTCTTTTAGTATGACGCATGCCTCCTTGTCTGCAATGTGATAGACAACATATAAAGATTTTTTAAACTAAGAATTTATTATGCATTGTCTATAACCAAAATAAAGTAAGCCAAGCTATGCACGTATCTTCTATAACCAAAATGTGATAGACAATATCTTGTAATTGTTTCAGGCTTTGTTTTGTTGCTTCCTGAGATGGTTTGTTCGTTGGCATTGCAGATAAAAAATTTGTGAACTGGACCATCCGCATAGCAAGTGTACATGGACTAAGCGCTCCTTTGCCATTCATTAAGTCTGTTGAGGTAAAGTTAGATTTCTGCACCGACTTTTATTTTCCCCTTTTTCTTTTTCAGAAGCTTATCCCTTGTCATAGGCATCATTGAAGTTTCTATCATCTGCTCTCAAAAGTTATAGCCCTTGTTATAAAAGAAGAATATTTGAAAATTTGCTCTGCGACACAAGTTTGCGTTTCGGTGATCCACTCTCTCTGTTTTGAATGGGTCATGCTATTAATGTAACCAAGGAAAATGTAATGGTTAAATGGGAATAATCTGTCCTTATCGTCTGCTCCCCAAGTCATGAAGAACTTACCCGTAATAAAAACGAGGTTGCATCTTGTTTATCATACAATCAATATGATGAGGTGAAATAGGCTGGGCCAGGTCATTCTACATTAATTGTAATTCTCTTTTAAATGAAACCTTATTGCCTAATTATTGTATTTTTGCTTGACCTATTATTCTGCTTTGCCCCTGCACCAGGTTTCCTTCTCGGACAGTCAAAATTACAAAGAAGCTACTCTTAATACGCAGCCATTTCTACTGAAAAGGTAGCGTGGGATTCTGAAACATGTAAACGTATTATGTCTACGAGTAGTGTTCTATCCAAATGCAATTGGGTAGTGCAATTTAGCATATATGACTACCACCTGAGTAGTTTCAGTTAAATTTAATGCCTGAAGAGAGAGCCTTTAGTCAAACTTAAGCTTTCTATATCAGTTATATCGAGTTTTGCTGTGAGAAAACATTTTTACCGGTTAAATTTCCATTTTGTTGTCTGTCAACTTGAGGTTTTCTCAAGAGTCTCTTGTACATCAAATTGGATTCTTGCTGTTTATGAACAAAACATATGAAATAGCTCATACTTGGTTAATTTGATCTAGCACGGGATCCATAAAATGAACATCTGGTATTTGACCCAGCCTTATGTTACGGATGGAGAGGCTAGATGTCCTGGACTATGTAATATATGGCATTTCCCTACCTCACATCTTCTTTGTTTATATGTATCAGGAGAACTGTAAGGACAGAAACATTTGAGATGTTTTTGAAGCTCAAGTTTAGTGATGGTTGTGGCTGTCTTAGCACCCAAATCAAAATCCCTTTTAATTTCCAGGTGAGGAGATAGAATATCATTACTTAACCTTCATTCGATGTTTTTGTAGTCATTTGTTATTGCTCATTTATGTTAATCTCAAGGCTGCAACGTTTAGCAAAGTCGTGGGGCAGGGAGTACCCCTGATTTTGAGCATAATCTTGACTCCTTTTTCTTGGTTAAAAGTCTATTGAAAGTACTATGCATCGATTTCCAATGTCCTTGTCAACTTAAATGCCATACTATTCCTGGATTGCTTGGCAAAGCAGCAGTTTATTCTCAGGCATGTCCTTCCTATTTGTATTCTGAGGAGACCAGACAAATTTGTACCTTTTCACTGTGCAGGCTTCAACGGAAGATTTTAAGCTTGATAAGAAGGCCACATTTGAAAAGATGAGAGACGTAGCGATTCAAGACTCCAGCTGTGGGCAGAATTCAGTGGTTGAGAGGAGAACTGTTTTAGTCCCCAAAAGTGAGATCACAGTTCATGCAGTTGTCACAAATGTTAGAACATTTGACTGTCATATAAGCAATGGTGATTTGAAACCAAGGAAAGAAGGTCTACAGGGTTCCGAAACGACGACCCGGAAGCGATCGAAAGGACGGAAACGAAAAATGAGTTCATAGAGAGAGTAAAAAAGAGGCTTTTTAGTTTGGGAATGTGTATATGTGTTAACCTTCATTAGGTCAAGTGGTCAAGTTGTAAGTATGGGACTGAGTGAATTTTGTTAGATATTTAGCACTCAGAGTCTCTCAAGCTATGATTAGGACAGTGCAAACTCAGTTGACATGGTCACCCAGTTTTGTAGGACTAAGATTTTAAGAATCTCAAAGTGTTCTTCATTATTACTTGGTTTGTGTATATGTTAAATGATGAATACATTGTTTGAGGGCTAACATCTCTTTATTATACATATATCTTTTCAAATACATTAGAATTTGGATATGGAAATAATTAATGGGTTTATATGTGATATATTGATGTCACGGTCTTACAAGAGAGCTGTGTCACGGTCTTATTGGGTAGTCGTGTCACGGTCACACAAGAGAGGTGTGTCACGGTCATATTGGGTAGTCGATTGAAAATAGCATAATCGAGTATTTAAGTATTTATATTATTTTCAATTATAGGACAACATCGTGAGGTCTAATGGGATCCAAGGATTCAAAGTAAATAATCTCTTGCAGGTTGATGTGAATTATGATTTTAAGGTCTTAAATTTTTAATTTGTATCAATTTCATCCTTGAAACTTCTAATTGTATCAATTAAGACCTCGATCTTTTCAATTAGTTTCACTTTATTCCTCGAATTAATGAAGTTTTCTATTATATAAAGGTGAAAGTTACCTGTTTTATAATAAAAACCTTGCCACTAACAATATATAAGGTTGGCCTTTGAATAAATCTCATGCCAAATGGAATGTTCGGAGTGGATGCCTTCGTCAAAGATAGTAAGTTATTTTTCATCAATTATGAATTGACATATATATTTTTTTCTATATTGTAATTATTCATCAATTATGGGTTGATATATGTATTTTTTCGATACCATAATTATTCACCGGAGATGTTAATATATTTTTCACCCATAATGCATTGACACATGTATTCTTCCGGTACCACAAATTATTTTAGGCATGTGAGTTGAAAATTTATGAATAACAAAACTACATTAGATATCATATTCTTTCACTCTATTTAATAATATGGCAAGTTTACCTCAACCAAAAACTCATAATTTCTCTAATTTTAATATATTGGTAAAATCAAATTTCTTGACTCAAAAGCGAACGAGAACTCATGATAAATTCTTTAATACAATAAACAAATACATTTATATAAAAAAAATTATTAACTTTAACCGAACTGCAATTATGATGTATAATTTAATAAATTATAATGTAAAATTGAAATTTTCCAACTTAAATATATTTTTTAAAAATTTATAATTATTTTCGTCTGATACGAGATATGATATTTATCCATGTGATATAAACATGGAATACCCAAAATTGAAAAGCAATGAATGGAGAATGACTTGGTATACCAAAATTAGCACTTTCCAAGGTAAGCAGTCATTAAGACAAAAAACAAAAGACAGGAAAAAAGAGAGTACGGGGTTGTTGACTGGCCACCTGTAAATCCCGGTAAGGGGAAGAGCATTGTCCAATCAGAGAGGTTGGTGTGACCGGCAATTCTAAGTTCCTCGTTAGAAACGCCGGTTTGCCATGTGGGACTGTGTTTCTTTGTGCCAATATAAATCCCCCCACCCCTCCCACCTGAATGGTGCATTGCCCTTTCAAAGGACGCCAAACCCTTAAAAAAGAAAACAAAATTCTTTTTTATTTTTTTTATTTAATTTTCTTTTGTTGCTGAAAGACAAGACATGGAACGTGGTGATGGGTTCAATCGTTTTCACAAGCATGCAAAATCAAGCTCCGGTAAACTCTTTTCTACACAAAATAACCCTTTAAAGATATATAATTTTTTTTATATTTTTTTTCAGATTTTTTACTACGATTGTAAATGTCATATTTACGTATCAAATAATTCACGTCGAGATAAATTAATTATCATTTTCGACGAAAATACAGTTTCAATATTCAAGATAGATAGAAAAATATTGCATGCATGAAGAGTTTTGGTTTTTCTGTTTAATTTTTTTATTTTTTATTTATCTTTTTGGGTTTGTTTGCTTTGTTTTGGGGTTGCATGCAACATTTGCCAGCTTTCGCCATTGTTGCTCAAGAGGAAGCTTTTTAGATTGAAAGCAAATGAAATTTCAGACCAGCTTCCTTTTTGACTCTCTCTGTGTGTTCTTACAGTAACGGTTGGTTTTATTTTATTTTTGTCTTGTTTTTTTTTTATTTTTTTTGGTTCTTATAAATATTATAAGTAAAATATAAAAAATGGGCGTTTAATTATTTTTTTAACTTTGAATATTTATATATATATATATATATATCTACTGTTGACATGGCTTGCATGCAAGGTTTTGTGGAAGAGAGAGACCAAAAAGTCCAATATCAGAACTTTATTTTCTTTTTTGTTTCAATAAAAATTGAAAAAAAATTGAGTCCTTTTTTTCTTTTATTTTAATAATTTTTTATTTGCTTTAAAGTATTTATTTTTGTGATTAAAGAAGGAAAAAAAGGAAAAATTTCAAAACCTGGAGATTAAAAAAAGAAAAAAATTGAGTCATTTTATTTTATTTTAATTATTTTTTCTTTGCTTTAAATTATTTTATTTTTGGGATAAAAGGAAAAAAAGGGGAAAAATGGCAAAACCGGGGAAAAGGCTTTGACTTTGGGCTTCACGGAGAGAGAGGAGAGAGACACTCCCAAACAAAAGAATCTAAACAGTGATATGTGGGGCCCGTATTTTCAGGGGGCCTGAATTGGGCCCCACTCCACATCCCCCTCCTTTTCAAACCCAAAAAGCGGGACCCACTAACCTATCGTGCCCCGAACTGAGGCACTTTATTCTCGCTTTGGATGGGCACGTGTGACATGCATCCCGCTGACGTGGCATTTATTTTATGTTATTTATTTTTTGGGTAGAGGAATTAATTGGAGAAAATAGAAGAAAAAAGAAAAATATGCTTCTCTTTTTCCAAAATTTGACTGCACTTTTTTTTTGCATTTAATTTGTCATTTATTGTTGCCTTTGACTTTTGTTTTTATTATTTGTTTATTTTATTTATATTTATGAGCATGGAATTTATGTTTTGTGTCATATTCATTAATATTTGGTTTGTCTTTTATATTGAATTTTTTTAGATGTTTCGAAATAATATTTTTTATTAATTTATTTATTTTTGAGATATCTCAAATTGAAATATTCTTGTACATTTATTTTTTCATGACATTTTTTAATTTTATCGTATTAAAAACATTGAAAGATTTACAATTTAAAAATATATTTAAACTAAAATTCTTATTTTAATTTTTGTAAAAATTAAAATCCGACAAAGATTTTGTGTCAGAAAATAAATAATATCCTGCTTTGTGTTTTCAGGGTTGAGCGTCATACAGCCTGGTGACTCCTCAAACACCAACAATGGCGGCAACACCGCCAAGTCCAGCACCATGCCTCCACCGTGCATGGTGCGGGAGCAGGATCAATACATGCCGATAGCCAACGTGATCCGCATCATGCGCCGCATCCTCCCTGCACATGCCAAAATCTCCGACGACGCCAAGGAAACCATCCAGGAATGCGTCTCCGAGTACATCAGCTTCATCACTGGGGAAGCCAACGAGCGTTGCCAACGCGAGCAGCGCAAGACCATCACGGCCGAGGACGTTCTTTGGGCCATGGGGAAGTTGGGTTTCGACGACTACGTCGAGCCCTTGACTGTTTTCTTGGGCAGGTACAGGGAGAGCGAGAGCGAGAGGACTTCGTTGCGTGGTGAGCCCATTTTGAAGCGTGGAATTGACTATGGGCCCATGATGATGGCTCCGCCTTATGGGCCTGGTCTCCACATGGGACATCACCACCAGGGGATCTTTGATGCTGCTGCAGCAGCCGCTGCCATGGGAGGGTTCTACAGAGATGGTTCGGGTGCAGCCGGGTCGTCGTCTTCACAGGCTTCTCTGACCAACAACTTTGATCCATTTGGTCAGTTCAAATGAAGGGAAGCAAAGCACAGATATGAATAAACAGATACCATGACAAACTACCCATTATTTAGAAATATAGGGGAGAAGGTAAAACAATTGGTATTGGCATTCAGGGTGATTGTTCTTCTTTGCTTCTTTGTACTTGGAACATGTGTTGGATTCATTGGTTTTGGTTAAACAGAAAACAGTCGTTGAGCTGCTGTTGCTTTGTCTTTATCTGATTTTGTTTTGTTTTTGGTGGTGATCAAATGGAGCTAAGAATTTTTAAGTTTGGCACATGGAAGATGCCTCTTAACTTGTAAAACTGAACCTTTATCCTGGATTAAGTTTACAGGAATGGTGATAGAGTAGGTTCAATCCATGGTTCACAGATTGGTAAGAAAGTAGAATTGCTCTGTTAACTTGCAAAACTGAACCTTTACTCTGGTTGAAGTTAACAGGAATGGTGATAGAGAAAGTGCAATCCATGGCTCATAGATTGGTGAGAAAGTAGAATTGCCCTGTTAACTTGTAAAACTGAACCTTTACCCTGGCTGAGGTTAACAGGAATGGTGATAGAGTTAAGTTCAATCCATGGCTCACAGATTGGTAAGAAAGTAGAATTGCTGCTGCTATCCATATGAAAACAAATTAGAATCCCAATGATTGTAAGCCACCATGTTTATTTAATCAATTATGGTCTTTTACAGAAAAGAGTTAAAAGAATTATGGTCTTTTACAGATAAGAATTTAAAGATTTGTTGATTCAATCATCACTTTTCATCCAAGTTCAAGTACAGATGGTGTTTTCTGATATAATCAATGACTTCATCTACGGTCAGGTATTTTATAGACAATCCTCTTGAAATGCATTCCCTGGAACAAATGAAGAAAACAAAGGGGATCTCCATTAATATTAGCCTCTGAAAAGATGTTAGATTTTTCGTTCAGTACATGAACAAATAAAGCTGTTTACCTCAATTTTGTTGAACTGATTTGGTTTGGTACTAGTTCATCCACAATTTTAATGTTATCCTGAACGGAACAAAGAGCATACACGCTAACATTAGTGATATGTATCTAACTAGTTAGAGTTCAAAGTTCTTTTCCAGAGTTGACCAAAAATTCAGATGTTGTCAAGAGTAATGACCGGGAATTAATGCCTTGCTTTTGCTTCTTGTGGAAAATTGGAAAAAATAAAGAAATTTGACTCACCCTGTTTTCATTCAAAATTTCATCATCAGTGATGATTTTTTCCACATCTTGTCCTTCTCTGCGAATACAAACCACACCATAATCTTTGCATATGGATCTAACCTGGAATTTGATACAAAAAAAAAAGTTGGTGTTTTCAGATTCAAATTATGCCAGTGTAAGCACTAAACTTAGAATAATGATAATGTTAAGTCTCCTCAATCCGGTAACACCTATATCATACAAATTAATATAAGCATATACCTGCTCCGGGATCCAAAAGCCAGGAATGCTGAAAGATTGAAGTAAATCAGAACCACAAACAAGCATGACTTTAAGGGATTCTGCAAAAAGCCAGAGACATCACAATTAGTATCTCCTGTGGAACAATGAGGAGATTCCATTAAACATCATTAGGAGGAAAGCTAAAGGTAAAAATACATAGAGGAAATAAAGTTATTGAATTGTAATATGATAGATCTTGGAGAGATAGTTCCTGAGCAACAGAACATATCCTCCAATATAATCAAGTAATCAACCCACTCTTGCTCGCTCATATGTGTATGTGTGTGTGTATATATATATTAATTATACTCATAGGAGGAATTAGGATGACATAATCAGGATTATGTTGCTCAACACATAAAGCAAGGAAAGCAAGGATAAGTTTCTGCTTACATACCCTTGGGTATCAGTCCACCCTCAGTCAAGAAGCTCTTGACTCGAGACAAAACAGTTAGAGTGCGCTGAAAAGAGCTTTGGTTTGCCTGTGAGAAAGCATCAAAAGTTTCGGGGTTAGATTCAGACAAGAACTCGAAAAGAAACAAGACAATTGTATTTTGCAACGCAATAGATATGCTATACAATCAAACTCCAATTTCCCAGCAAATTTGCAAAATGCAGCCAGAGAAAGAAAAATTAGTTACCTCCCAAGGATCAACCATTATAAATTCAGAACTTTTGCAGGCTAAATTACACAACTCGATTCGATGTTCAGCAGCTATAAGGCCCTGCAATCATCAGACAAAGCTACTCAATTGTTGTACATATAACCATAGAACAAGACAAGCACATATGAACCTTGAATAATACACTGTTGCCTCTATCATTGATTCATTTTGTTTCAGGATCACTATTTTATACATCGGCAGTCGAGTTTCATCAAATACAGGAAACCAAATCATCTACCATTTCCAAGATGCTAATGACATCACAACAAAAGTTTAGATTTTTTTTTTTGTAAATTCTGCCATTACCAATTCAGCAAAGACTCACCCTTTTCTTGTATGCATCATTTACAGGTGACATATAGCCTCCTATAACACAAAACCCATCTGAATTCAATGCATCTCTGGCCAGCTCTAACCATAAAAGAACAACAAAACCAATAAAAAGAAATGAAAAATAAACTAACAAAAGGCAAAGAAGTAGAACAAGAGAAATAACACATACCAAACATGCGTAAATGCATCAAAGTAGGAGGATTGAAGCTTCCAGTAGATACGAAAACGACATATACACTATCCCCACTTTGAACAAAAAAACAAAGAAAAGGAGAAATAATTATATCAACAAAATTAGATACAAATGAAAACAAAAACACAAGAAAGGAACTTACTTGGTTATTGATGGTAGAGATAGCTTATTCAGAGGCAATGGGATTTCCATTCAAGTAATGATTTTTTTTGATAGGTTTAGTAAAATTCTGAAGATAAAGAAGAAGAAGAACAGAGTTTATAGAGAATCAAAGGTTCACCTTGAAAAAAACGCAGAGGAGGAAAACAGGGGAGGAGGAGGAGACGCTGAACATTTACCGTGTCAACAACGACGTCGTATGGTTGACTTAAATTGACTTTACGCGACGTCGTTTTATTATGGAAAGGAAGGGAAGAGGAAACGACGTCGTGGATCTCAATGATAATATGAAATACCTAGTTTGCCACTGAACAGTCAAGAAATTATCAGATTGACCCCCGAATTTCAAATTCTAGAACCGCGCGTCTTCCCCCCCCCTCTCTCCCTCTCAAGCCAAAATCAATCCAAAAAACTCCATATGTGTTTGGCTGTAGATGGAAAATCGTGGCTATTGAAGAAGAAGAAGAAGAAGAGAAATGTCGACTATAGAGAAGGTGTTGGTTCAGATCTTCGAGAGGAAGGATCGGATAATCGACCACGTGAAGCAGCAGATCCTTCTCTTCGATCACCACCTCGCCTCCAAGTGTCTGATCGACGGCTTCGTTCCTCCGTCTTGGCTTCTCTCCACTTCTCCCACCGGTAATCTGCTTCTTTCTCCCTTTTCAGCTTTACATTTTCCAATTTTCCGACCGTTTATGAAGTTTCTTCTTCTTTAACAATGCTTAGATTTGATTCTTCTCTATTGAATACGGTGAATTTTGCTTCTTTTTTTCTGTTGTTCTTGCTGTTTTAAGATTCGAAGAGTCGATTGAATTCCTTTTCCCTTTCAGCTTTACATTTTCCAATTTTTTTCCATTTTTTCGAAGGTTTATGAAGTAAATTTTGAATGTGATTTTGTTATCCTTAATAATGCTTAGATATAATTCTTCTCCATTGAATATGGTGAATTTTCTTCTTCTTTCTGTCGTTCTTGCTGTTTGAAGATTCGAAGAATCGACTGAAGATTTCTTTAGCAACAGCGTCTTTAATTTCTTTTGAGTATTTTCTTTTAAATTCAAAGGGAATACTGATTTTTACCTTTTAATTGATTTCAAAAATTTGAATTAATGCTTAATTCTTTTTAGACTAGAAAATATTTATGGCAATGCTTCATTAATTTCAAGTACATAAACTTGACTCAATTTTTCAAATTTTGAAACTTGAAAGCTAGAAAAGCAGTTTCCTTTTTTATTTTCAAAGTTTTCTTTCATTTGATTCTTGATTGTATTTCGATTTCAGAACTTAATTTATCAAGTACTTTGGAATTATCTGTCTAATAGTCTGTATAACAGTTCTTTTTTAGTGGATTTTGAATAAGGAAGAGTCTGCTTTTTTTAATTGCAGAGTTGAATAAGGAAGATCTTATCTCAGGACTCCTACTTCCAGATCCACAGCCTTCCATTCCTTACTGTTCTCTGTACCAACAGCCAGTTGTTACAACTGATAATGTGCAGTTACCAAGTCTTTTACGCAACCGAGTTGATGCTTGGAATGAAGGCTTAGATCAGTGTCTTTCTGGTAAAGCTGATGAGCTGGATCCTAGTGTTACATCTCCTCCTCAAGACTGTAGAGATGGGATGATCTCAGATATTGGTCCTGACCCTGGTTTATCTCTGGCAAGAATCCAGAGATCTAAGTCTAGGCAACGGGCTCTAGAGCATCGAAGTAGTGTGAAAGCATGTAAAAACTTTGAGAGTTCTGAAAAGATTGCTTGTTTATGGTCTGATTCTGCGGATAAGTTGGAATTGATCAGATCATGTGATAACGTTGTGAGATGTGCAGAAGAGGAGGAAGAAAGAGGGCGATGCTGGAGCAAAGAAACGAGTGAAAATATTTACTCTGGTAGAGTCACAAGATCTAGAAGTTCTGTCCAACCTCCCAAGTCTGTGAGTGGACCTTCAGGTGCAGGCAACACTTCTTGTGTTGCAAAGCAGGATGGTGTGGTACTTACAGAATCCACCAGCAATTCAGGACAACAGCCTCATGTTGTTCATGAGTTATTGGAATCAAAATTTGTCAAACCTTTTCATAATACAGTAAGTTGTCCAGTGAAAAATGAAGAAAATGGTCAATGCCAGAGCAAGGAAAGGGGTGAAGATGTTTACTCTGGTAGAGTCACAAGGTCAAGAAGTTCTGGTCGACCTCCAATGTCTGTGAATGGTCCTCCAAGTGCAAAGCAGGATTGTATTGTGCTTACTGAATCCATTAACAGATCAAGACTACAGTCTGATGCTGCTGATGAGTTATTGCAATTTGTCAAACCAGTTGGTAATGTTGTAACTTGTGTATTAGCAAAAGAAGAAAGTAGTCAATGCCAGAGCAAGGAGAGGGCCAAAAATATTTACTCTGGTAGCATCACAAGATCTAGAAGTTCTGTCCAATCTCCCAAGTCTGTAAATGGGCTTTCATGTGCAGGTAAAGCTTCTGATGTTGCAAAGCAGGATGGTGATTTGGTTATAAAATCCACCTGCGAGTCAAAACAACAGCATAATGTTGTGGATGAGTTGTTGGAATCAGTAAAGCCTACTGTTATCTCTGATGAAAGTTATGGTTATATGAAAGCAAGAGACCACCTAAGCAAGGAAAAGGAAAGCAATGTTTATCAAGGAAGATTAACAAGATCCAGAAGTTCTAGCCAACAGCATAACTGTGTGAATAAGCATTTGAAGCTGGATAGCTGTCCTGGTAGGAGCATCGATGATGGCATTTGTAGATCAATGCAGCTGGCCTGCCATGCTAATGATCTTGAGGATTTGATTAAGCCTTTTGATATCAGCATTGAAAGTTGTGGGATAAAGGCCAAAACAAGTGATTACAAAACAAAAGAGAATGCTGTTGTAGATCAACATAATCAAGGTAGTACCAGGTCGAGAGCTAATTGTAGTGCAAAATTGTTTAAACTTGTTGATTCCTCTGATACCCTGGAGCATGAAGTTACACAGTGCAAATCAACAGCTTCCAACAAGTCCCCATATGCAAAGTCATCAGACAGGTCTGAAGGAGCTGAACTTAAGGAAGTTCCTGATACCCAAGTAGATTCCTTGCCTTGTGCCAGTGACAGTGATCTTGCTGACTTGAACCAATGTGTTGCAATTGTTGCAGACACTGATGTAGATTCCGATGAGTTAGTTGAGTCTCATTTAGCTAGTTCTGCATCTAACTTGGATGGTGCTAACAATCCTCCTCTTGAAAAGTCATTGAATATTTATGAAAGAATTGAGTTGGAAGTAGCAGTAACAAGCCCACACTCTGCATCTGCTATGATAGTGATGCCTAAGCAACTTGATTTTGATAATTTGGGAGAGTGCACTTTGAATGAAGCTTCTAGTCCTGTATTAGAGAGTGAAGAAGAGATCAAATCATTGGAGGAATGGCCTCTTGCACGGCTTCCTTCTGCAGATAAGCTGGATGAAGTAACTCCTGTTCTCTACCAAGAAAAATACAACTCGTCCCCTGTAAAGCAGTTGTTGGAGGAGTGGGAAGCCTTTAGTGAAGAAGAGAAACAGTCCAAAACAGATTTGAACAAGACATCTGGACCAGGTAGAACTTCAAATTTAAATGTCGTGTTGTCAGTAAAAGAAACACCTGAGGCTTCTACAGATGCTGTAACAAGTATTCTGCCTGAAAGCAACAAAATCTCTGCACAGAAAATTTTCATGGAACATCATTCAACTAGTTTAAAAGTTTCTTACGAAAATTTGCTTGGAAACTCAACAAAAGATGCTTCAGGATCTAGATTAAATGCTGATACTGGGACAAATTATCTCTTTGAGAAGGATTATAGGAAGCTTGAAGTAGTAAAATCTGCAACATCGGTCCCAGAAGAGCATAATTGTAATACTAATGTATGTAGTGGTCCTGCAATTTTGGCGGATATTGATTTCACTGAAGTTTGTAGCCCTGCCCTGCTAAGAAAAGCAGATGCAACTTCCAGTGATGGAATTGAGCATGCTTTTACTGCACTAATAGAAGAAACTAAGGGTCATTCTGCGAAACAGAAAATGGAGTTAAGTCCTCAAAATCGAAATGCAGACTCAATGGGAAGATTTATTGCTGATGACACTGATTCAGATCAAGATCCCACACATGCAAAATCAAGTGAACACAAGTTTGCAATTCAGTCCATACAGCCAGGTAGACATTCTGGCTCCCATGTGGAGGGTTCGTCACCTCATAAGCGGAGGAAGATCGGAGGTCAACAAAGAAATACCCTGTCTTTGTCATTAAGCTTGAAGGTAAAGCCAATTAAGAGTATTTACTGGGGTTTATTACAAGGAATGTGGCTTTTGTATATGATAACTCAAGCATATCTTAAATCTCAGCACTTTTCTTTGTCTCAGGAGGAAGATATTATGGAATTAAATGCCAATAAGTCTCTAGTTGATGAAGAAGATCAGAACACGGTATGCTACATTGTGGGTGGATTGAATCTTCCTCTAGTTTTAATTCCTCATTATTTTAGTAATATCTACAACTTCTCATGAGATAGTGATGTCGTCTACTCTCTCTTCCTGTTATAAAATACTTACACTTTCACTAAGTTTATCTTTGCCATGAAAACAATATATTAAGTTGTTTGTTTCAATGATAAGATTACCTCCTAGGAGGTTAATCTTGAACTGGCATGTGTGAAAAACTTTAGGAGGCAAAAGATTTCTCAGCAGACATCTGGATAGCAGCGATGCTATGGCTTGATTTCATAATTAGCACACTTATATAATTGGAACAGGTTCTCCATACATTGCACAGGTTGCTTTCCTATTTGCAATTGAACACTTTTAACAAAGCAAATGTCTTATTATTGTGCTGGCCAGGGCAAATGTAGTTCAAAAGAGAGAAGCAGAAGGGCAGTAACTCCTTCCACTTTTATGCATAAAAAATTTGCTGTGGCTTCTGTCTCAAGTTTGCTGCAAGAGACCCTTGAAAATTCTGAAGATCACTCAGCGGAGGGAACAGGAGCAGTAGGTCCATCCAGCGTTATGTTTGGTTCAACAAGGAAATGCACTGCAGACGAGAATCAAATTTTATTGAATGTTGGGGATAAATCAGAATTTGGAAATATTGAACATTTGACTTGTTATGAAAGGAGCGAGGAAGAAGGCAAATCTCAACTCGGAGAAGATGGTGAGGGTTCAACTTGTCCAATTAGTTCTCCATGTCAACCACCAGCAGACTTGATCAGTGCTGATCAGACCAATCCAGAACTTGAGGGGTTCATTATGCAGACAGATAGTGAACAAATATGCATTGGTGGAGATGGAATTAGTTTTGACAAATTGGACCTTCCAAAGACTACAATAGAACGTGCTAGCCTTCTGGAACGGCTTTGTAAGTCTGCTTGCATCCATACCCCATTATCCCAGTTTCCAACTACTTATAAATTGCACCGAACAACCGATCTTTACCAGTCTATTCCAAATGGGCTCCTAGAATGCGTGGGCCCAAAGAGCACCCTTCCTACAAATGATGATGGAAAAAGTCAACTTAAAATTAGCACTAGTTGCTTTGGTGAGGACACGAACCGTGCTCTTTTTGGAGGATACTTTTCTGATCGCTTGCCCTTTTCTAGTTTTCAAGTTACTGGAGATGTGAAGAAACCTCATCTTTCTCCAGTTGGCAAGCTCTGGGATAGGATCGTTTCAAACTCTGGCAGTTCAGAGAAGCGAGGTAGCCTAAATCCGGAGCTTCCCTGCATCAATGAAGAAAATGAGAACACAGACGAGGTGGTTGATGCATTTCAGGAAGGCGGTGCTTCCAAAATGGTGACTTGCTCTGTCCAAAGAAAACCACTTACTGAGATTAGGGAATGTCCAAATGTTCCTGCATCAGTTTCTGGAGCTGAAATATTTACCGTTAGAGCTAGTCTGGACTCCGTGAACACGGCCTACAACTTCACTGGGACTGAGAATGAGGTCAAACAAAAGGCTGGAAATCACAATGCCAGCAAGAGGAGAGAAACAAATAAGATGAAAGAAAACCTGAGTATACCACCAGGGGCAAATGGTACCAAGAGGGCAAGTGAATCACTTCGTAATGGGTTCAGAAAACCAAAACTATCTGGAAAAACCAGTCTGAGAAAAGGGGGGCCAAGTTTCTCACAAAAGGAGTCAAAGGTCAATAATATAGTCTCAAATGTCACTTCGTTCATTCCAATGGTTCTGCAAAAACAAGCTGCTGCTATTATCACTGGTAATCATTTTCTCCTATCATTTTTCTCCAGCCATTCCTTTTCTCTCATTTCTCCCCAGCATTTTATGAAAACTATATTACATATAGACGATGCAGATACTTTAAGTTATTTGTAATTCCTTTTAGGGAAGAGGGATGTTAAAGTGAAGGCCCTGGAGGCTGCCGAAGCTGCAAAGAGACTTGCAGAAAAGAAAGAGAATGATCGTAAGATGAAGAAGGAGGCCTTGAAACTTGAACGAGCGAGGTTGGAGCAAGAAAATTTGAGGCAGTTGGAGATTGAGAAGAAAAAGAAGGAAGAAGAACGAAAGAAAAAGGAGGCTGATATGGCTGCAAAGAAAAGACAGAGGGAAGAGGAGGAAAGGTTGGGGAAAGAAAGAAAAAGAAAGCGTATAGAGGAAGCACGGAGGCAGCTGCGTCCTCCTGAAGAAAAATTATGTGCAAAGAAGGATGAGAAGGAAAAGAACTGCCAAGCCCCGGTAAACTCCCTTCTGCTGTAGACAATGATTTGTCTTTAAATCTTTCCTTTTTGTGGTATGGCATTAAAATGTGGATGTCTGCTGTAGGATGAGAGAGCACAAACAATGAAGGTTCCTAATGATGGAGCAGTGAAGCATGAGCAAATGCAAAAAGAAATAGCAGACAGAAATGAAGGGAAAATGTTAGAGACAGAATTAAGGATGGCTGTTGCTTCAATTTCCGATGCCGTAAAAGCAAGCATGGCCATTGAAGATTGCAATGCAAAGGTAAAAACTTCTTTTAGCACAGCTGCAACAGATAAAATTTGACCTTGCCCCTTCTATGGGTTAAATACTAGGAATTTTAAGAGTTCCTCTTAGTATTACTGCTATATTGGACTAAATCCCATGTCTATTTATCATAAACCATCTGAAAACCTGTTTGATAGGGCAATGCTAAGTCATATGTTTATCATGGAGCAAGTGCTTAAGTATTCTCTCAGTTTGTACTGAGAGGGCATAACATATGTTTTTCATTAATGCGATATGCGCAACACCTGACATAAGAATTTCTTATAGGAGTGTGACTCAAGCAGAACTAGTTGTTATGAGGATTTGTAATGGGACCTTTCAAATGGATTGTTACCAACTTTGTGACATCATGGAGACTAAATTTTGCCATATTGAACCAGTTTAACTGGAACTGTCTCTTGGATGTTTCTTCTACTAATTCAATGGTTTGTGAAATACTTTCATTAGAGCCTCATCTGGATACTAAATCTTTTCTCAGGTACTGAGCACCGTGGATAGAGCAACAACAGAGAGTGATAGCCTAATTGCAGATACAAGCCGGGAACAATCATATGATATATCTCCATACAAAGGTTCTGACGACGAAGATGAGGAAGAAGAAGAAGATGATGGACCTAATAGCAAATTTATTCCTTCATGGGCCAGGTATGTGAACTCAGTTTTGTCATCCTAAACATAAGTATGGATTCTCAGGTTAAGAACCACATTTATCACATTTCTTGTAAAGAAATATGCTGATAGATTACTTCCAATTAACTCTTGGTGATTTTTGCAGTAAAAATCGTTTGGCTTTGGTTGTAACTTCCCAGCAAAATCTGGACCCAGAAGTAATATTCCCCCTGAAAAGCTTCTGCAGCATAGCTGAAGGTGACTACCATAGATGCTGTAAAACCTTTCTACTATGTGTGTTTGCTGTTGGACTAACAGTTAAATTCTCTTTTCCATAGTTCTCTTGCCAAGAAAGTTCCAGCAAAATCGTGTGAGTTAAATACTGGATAGTATCTGCAGCCAACTCAATGAGAGCACCTGCATGAACCCAAAGGTATGCTCTTCCGGCCATGGATAATATTCTCCATGCTTCCATGGTGACTGCCATTTTCATTCTTGCTTTTTCTGTGGCAGAGTCAAAAAGAGACTTCTTGGAAGAGCTAGAAGCAGGTGATTCCAACATTTTCTTTTGCTGAAGATTAAAAAAACAAAAAAACAAAAAAACAAAAAATTGTAGCAATGATGTATATCTTAATAGTCTCATATCAGTAGATAAAACCCCTTTTTTGCTAACTGCTTAGAGCTGACAAAACTTCCATTGCCAATGTTAAAGGGCTGTTTGCCTCTAATCCCCCTCACCGTTCAATAATATAGCTCAAGTCCTGAACTTGGAAGCCATTGAAGCCGCAACAAATACCTCCAAAGTCTCTATACACGGTAGGACTTTGAATTCGAAATCTATACTTCATTGATTTAGACCTTTTCAACTTTATTTTGTCCCAAACTCGAATACAAGATACTCTTACACAATCAAGTCGAATAACGGTTAGATTTAAATTTGAGACATGGTAGGGCGTGGTGGGTTGGGGGGGACAATATTTGCATTACTATAACGGCTCCATGACGTGGAATCCGATGAGGTTTGGATTTGGGCTAGTCAATTGGACCCCAATGGTCACATGGGGCTTTTGTCATTATTGATTTCTCCGAACTCACATTTCACTGTTGGCCTCCCTCCCTCCTTTTCCCAAGCTGACACCCACCATTTCTGATCAACCTTCTTTGTTGCCCGTTTGAGTTAGATTCTAAGTATCTGTACTTATTTCTTTATATATATATATATATATATATATATATGTGTGTGTGTGTGTGTGTGTGTTTAGATATATCACCGACCATGTTGAGTTGCTTTAACCCAGAGGTACTACATCTCATGGGATTTAGTGTCAGCAGTGGGTTCGTATTATTTAATCATTTTTGAGCAAGTATTGCTTGAACAAAATATGTTCCTTTTGCTATTAAATAAAACATACCATTTTAAACCCCATCAATTTTATAAGAAAAAACTGGTTAATTTCATATACAATTTTTCAATTATTTTTCGTGAATCGGTTATATTTTCAAAAAGTGTTATACCCTTAATTTTTTTTTGATAAATTAAAAAAATATATTCTGATAATTTTACTAATTGAAATTAAGTGGTAATTCTATTTTAGAATAAAACTTATATATACGAAACTAATCACAAAAAAATATATTTCTAAAATACTATGTGAAAAAAAATTAAAATTATTCAAAAGAAAAAGTATATGTGGGCCATAGGCCATTTATTTTGGTTTTTAGACTATCCAACATTATTCGGTCAAATGCCCAGGGAATCATTCACATGGCTTTGTCATGGAAAATAATAGTAATAAATAATAAATAATAATAATAATAGTCAGAAAACACAGCCCCCACCCACCTTAAAAACGGTCACATTTGAAACGAAATCCCACTTTGTATCTCTCAGTTCATTTTCATGGTCCCTCCCTCAAATTATTCAATTATCACCCTCGAAACTACACCGTTTTTTGACCACCATTCCTCCCCACAAATTTGCCCAAATGTCCAAAACTCAAGTCTTTCCAACCGTTATGCTATAAATGATTATTAGAGTAACAAAATGCCATTCCTTTCTACTTTTTTAATTCTTCAAATCCCCACCGGCGCCTGTTTTCTAACGGTTTAAACCACATTTTCTCTCACTCTCTGTTTCTCATGAATTCTCTCAGACTGCCTTAACTTATGTATTGTTGATTACAACCTTTCCATTCTTGCAGAGAAACCAATTCTGGGTAATCCTTTTCCAATCCAAGAGTCTCCAACAGAACAAAAGCAATGCTACCAAGAAACCTTCTTGTTTTCTTGCTTCTCTTCAGCTTCAAGTTCCCATCTTTAGCATCGGCTGAAAACGCCACCTTTGATTTCCAGTCCTTCACTGTCAGGAACCTCACTCTTCTTGGCGATTCCCATCTTAAAAATGGGGTAGTAGGCCTCACCAGGGAGCTTGGTGTTCCTTCTTCGAGCTCAGGCAGCCTTATCTACAACAACCCAATCCATTTTTTTGACCAAGAATCCAATACCACGGCTTCTTTTACCACAAAGTTCTCTTTTTCCATCAACAATGTCAACCCGAGCTCTTTTGGTGATGGCTTAACATTTTTTCTGTCACCTGATAACCAAACTCTTGGGAGTCCAGGAGGGTATCTTGGTCTTGTTAACTCTTCGCAGTCGACCAAGAACAAGTTTTTAGCCATTGAGTTTGATACCAAGCTTGATACTCAGTTCAATGATCCGAATCAGAACCATGTTGGTTTGGATATCAACAAGCTCAATTCAATCAAGACAGCTGACGCAATGTTGCAAGATATTGATTTAAAGAGTGGGAATTTGATCACTGCTTGGATTGATTACAAGAATGATTTGAGGGCCTTGAATGTTTTCTTGAGCTATTCAACTTTAAAGCCTCCAACGCCATTACTATCTGTGGATATTGACTTGGCTGGCTATCTTAAAGAGGATATGTTCGTTGGTTTTTCAGCTTCAACAGAAGGGAGTACTGAAGTTCATTCGATTGTGAATTGGAGTTTCAAGACTTTTGGTTTCCGGCCTGTGAGACCAAGATCACATCCTCATAATGTATCTGATAGCTCAGTTACAATAATATCAGATGTTCCCGTATCAAATTCTACCAACAAGCACCACAAGAGGCTTGGTTTAGGACTTGGGATTGCCGGGCCGGCTTTCGTCTTTGTGGTTCTTGCAGTTTTTGGTTATGTTTCTGTGAAGAAATGGAAGGATATGAGAACAGAAAAGTGTCTCAAAGCAGAGATTTTGACAGGGCCAAGGGAGTTTAGTTACAAACAAATATATGCAGCCACAAGAGGGTTTCACTCAAGTAGAATCATAGGACGTGGTGCATTTGGAAATGTTTACAAGGCCATTTTCGTTTCTTCGGGGACTATTGGTGCAGTGAAAAGATCAAAACACTCCCATGAAGGTAAATCTGAATTTCTTGCTGAATTGTCCATTATAGCTTGTTTGAGGCACAAGAATCTGGTTCCTCTACAAGGTTGGTGTGCTGAGAAGGGCGAATTGCTTCTTGTTTATGAGTTTATGCCCAATGGAAGCCTTGATAAGGTGCTTCATCCAGAAGCTGAGAATGGCTTATTGCTAACATGGCCCCACAGGCAACATATTGCTGTTGGATTGTCCTCTGTCTTAGCATACCTGCACCAAGAATGTGAACAGCAAGTCATCCACAGAGACATAAAGACTAGTAATATAATGCTTGATGGGAACTTTAATCCAAGACTTGGTGATTTCGGATTGGCAAGGCTGATGGATCATGACAAGAGTCCAGTTTCGACACTTACTGCAGGAACTATGGGATACCTTGCTCCTGAGTATCTTCAATATGGGAAAGCAACTGAAAAAACTGATGTTTTTAGCTATGGTGTCGTCATTCTTGAAGTGGCCTGTGGTAAGAGGCCAATTGAGAGGGAGCCAAACAGCCAGAAAATGGTGAATCTGGTTGACTGGGTGTGGAAATTGCATGGTGAGGGAAGGATCACTGCAGCTGCTGATAAAAGGTTGAACGGGGATTTCAAAGAGGAAGAAATGAGGAAGCTGCTGCTTATAGGTTTGAGCTGTGCACACCCTGATAGTGCTCAGAGGCCTTCAATCAGGAGAGTCCTTCAGATCCTTAACAACGAGGCGGAGCCAATAGCTGTGCCAAGGATGAAACCAAGTCTCTCTTTCTCTTGTAGCTTAACTGTTGAGGACATTGTTTCAGATGACGAAGAAGGCAAAACAACTGCTTGAGTGTGGGAATTCGAAGCTGATCCTAGAGTCAGGTTTCATTTTCTCAGATGCAATATTCATTAATTGTTTGATTCATTCATTGTTCTTCTATATCATCATCATAGTGTTAACTACTTTGTTTTAGTTTGCTAATTAGAGACTAGGAGTTCATTTAGTCTGAGTTCAAAAGTACTGTATTGAACTATGTGGTCTCTGCTGTAATCTGAAGATATATTCCTCCCAAAGTTTTAAAAATGCCCTTTGCTCTGATCTGGCCATTGCTAGTTCATCTGATTAGTTTCTTTCCCATCTTGGCAATTGCAAAATTTCCGGTCGAGTTGGATTCAGAGTCTTGCTCCTTATGTACACAAAACCAACAAAGAAATGAAGTGTTTTCTCTAGTTTTTAATGATATTAAAGCTCGAACTCCTTTCACAGTGACATTGCAAGAAAGCCCCTGATCTTTCTTTGAGCTTAAGCAGTTCATATGATTGCTTAGATTTTTTTTTAGTTTTTCATTGTCACATGGCCTTGATAGGGTGTGTAATGTCCATGATTATAAGCTTTCCAGATCCTCCTACATGACCATTCATGCCCTCGTCGCTGTCGGCCACCCTGCCTGCCTCCCCTTCAGAGGTGCTTGGCATTTACCTTCACTCTTGTCCACTGCATTTTTTAATGGTTGGTTTAACTGTATACTTGGGAAAACAAAAGAAAAGAAAAAATGTGGCACAACCTGCAACAAGCATATGTAAACACAGTAAATTATCAAACATCACCATCCTCTTTAAATCTACAAGAATATCAAACTGCCAAGAGCATGCCAACCCCAGACATCATTTTCCTTGAAGGCTTTAAACTGCTATTTTTAGATTGCTTTGCCAGTGCCTTCTCTTCATCATTTATCATGTCCATGAAAGTGCATTCAAACTAAGCAAAAGGGTCTGCAAAAAAGCAGATATCAATGTGCAAATTACAAAGAAATTCTAATTTAATAAGCCCAATACACTCTAGTTACCCCTTTTACATAAAAGTTCTCCTAAAGAGTTTCAAAGTATCAGCTCTTCTGTTTGATGTGAGGAAAGGGCAAGGCCATGCCAAAAAGAAAAAGGTTTTACAAGCAGGCAACAGGGGGACCACATTTGAGTCAAAATTCATGTCATATTCAAGTTTCATAGTTGCTTCCTGAATAGTTCTCAGCTGCTAAAGTTAAGGCAGTTCCAGGTTTCCCACATGACAATTGAAAACTCTCAGCCCTTGGATCCACGTTTCAGTTTTCCTTCCATTTCAACCCTCCTGCATTGATCTTCCATATCTTTAACTTGGATTTAATCATGCTTTTGAATCTTATTGTCCACAAGTTGCTGGATCATCCTTCTCTACTGAACTGATCTTTGTAGGCTTCCATTTCATTTTTACTAATCGTTCGCAGTCATCATTGAAGTCCCATCTGATCCCTCATGACATAAAACCATCAGCAGAAACAAACAGGAAAGGTGTTTAGAATATCATTCAATGTCATGCTTAAACAAATTACATCATGGGGTATGCATCTACCATCCTTTTCTCCCATTAATATAAAGAATATCTGTCAATGATAGTGCAAAGAATATTGCTGATCCAATGTGATACAAACAATTCAAGGAGTGTAGAGAAAAGGAAAGTTTCCAAATTCTGGATTGTTTATTTAAGTGTAAAGGTTCCAATATGCTTCTGGGTCTGCATGACACCTACGCAAATAGCCAAATGGGCTTTCTTAGTACAAAGATAAATCTGAGATTCTTCACCAGCGGTGTAAATCTATTCCAAACCATCACATATTCTGTCAATCTTCCTATATTCTGGTCAAGGTGGAGCACTCACAAGTCACAAACTTTCTCACCCTACACTATGTTAATTTTTCTATATATCTTTGATCATCAATTATATATCATTAAACAATTTTTCCTTTTCTCTTTAAACTAGTAATGTGCAAAGGATATTTTGCATTTGTGATCATCTGTCAGAATCATTGTACTTCGGCAAAAGACTCATATATCAGAAGAATATAAGTTCTGAAACACTAGTAAAACAAGGGCGATAACATTTTTCTTTTTGTCAGAGGGGCATCAGCATAATTGGACTTCCTAGGTTGTAGAACATAGTTATAAGAGCAAAAACAATGGTTTAAATCATCAAATTAAGCATCTCAAAAAGCTCTGACCCCCATTCCCATATCTTTCTAGGCTTCTGTCGGGGATTGATCTATCATTTGTCTTGTTATTGACCAGATGATCATTAAAGAGCATATCAACAAAGATAGAAAGAAGGATCATAAGACTATATATTGAAACATTCTAAGATCCATCACTTTTAATTCTTCATTCACTGATCAGTTTTAAGAGCAGTAAAACACTTTACTTAATAGTAAATTAAGAGATCACAGGGTCAAGGAAAAATTTACAGCAGAGGTTATTGATGTGAAATGGGCATCATGATACTAGGAACATTTGAGAGAAGGGGTTAAAAGATGATGGTGACAGAAGAAGAGAAAGCACACTCCCAACAAAAGCAAAGACTTTCTTTAGCTAATGCCGGGTTGTGCTCTCTCTCTTCTGTCAACATAGTTATGATCTTCCCCATCTCTTCTCTTCTTCCACACACCATCCATGCATGGATTTCACCTTCTGTCACATGAAAATCATCATCAGAATCTAAACCAAAATAAGAGAAAAATACTAGCATTAGCTATATTGGAAGTGATCAAGAGAACATTTTCTCTTTCATATACATGCATGTATGCATGCATTCAAATCCGTTTATCATCAAACATAGGCATCTTTCTTGCAGAAAACTATAAACTACAATGCAAAAACATGCCTGTCTGAGGCATTTTAACTTCATGGAAACCTAGATATTTCAAACCCTTTTCCCAGAAAGAAAGAAAATGCATGCTAACACATGAATACCCAGAGTAACAAATTGCTTGTAACACAGATATACCCACAGATACTCACCTGAAAAACCCTTTGCTGCAAGTTCTTCACCACTTCTTTGAGCTCTAAGTAAACATATGTTACGACTTATAACAGCTTTTCATGGGGTTCTTAGGTCAAGGCATATCAAAAAAACCATTGAAACCCTTCACTCATTCCCTTTGAAAGCATATTTTCTTTCCAAAAAGAACAGAAGAAACAAGAAACAAAGAGAAGAGAAGAGTAACGTAAGAGTTTGTAACTCTAAAACCACAATGCCATGAACACTTAGGCAAAGCAAGCCTTTCTTTATACCAGCTTTTGTCACCGAATAAAACCAGTAATGCATGGCTATGACCGGCTACTGGCTGTTAAGTGGTCCCCTAAACAAAACCCTAGCGTTTTATTTTTTTTTATTCAATTTTATTTGACAGTTTCTAACTGAGAACCAGAGTTTCACTGTCACATTTATTATGGGTTTTACCAACAATTTTTATTTATTTACTTTTTTTTTTGGAATTTTCTTTGTTTGGAAATATGAAAAGGAAGGCTTTGTAAGCAATAAAATCTCATAACCAATTTTGGAGAGATTGTGACCGGCTATAGCAGGTGGCGTGCACGTGAGGAAGGGTTGCATCACGCGTGCTTTGTGGGTCAAGACCTTCTTTATCTTGGGACAATATGTGGGCTTTGAGATTGTGACACGTGGCATGCATGCATGGCAAGGCATCTATGATAACCCCATTTATTTATTTATTTCTTACATGACAAGGCATCAAATGCATGCATGCCATTTACCGCGATCGCGTGATAATTGATGACGTGATCATATGCGTTAAAACTTTTTTTATTATTATGTCGGTTCTCCAAGTCATCTGTTACATGTCACGAGTAAAATAATTATATTATCATAAATAAAAAAAAAATAACTTAAGATAAGTTGTAAGATTTATCATTAAAATTATGTAAAAGTATATAAAAAGATGATATAATATTTAAATAAGTTTTTAAATTATTTAAAAATATTTAAATAAATTTTTTTTATTACGTTTAATTAAGAATTTATTTATATATTATACCTAAAAGATTGTAAAGGCATTTATTGGACAGTATACCTTATTTTAGAAAGCTTGTCAAATTGTCAATATTCATAAACCCACTGGTACTGAATTCACCCAAATCATATATATATATTTAGTCATATATTTATGGTCTGGCAGAATACAATCTCTAACAGGGAATTTCCCTGGAAATCCTGACAATACTATTAACTTCCAGCAGTGCACTCTCACATGGGAAGTCTCAGGATTTCACCATCTTCATTCAACATTATTTCCTGTTTAGTGAAAGAACAGAAATGGCGAATTTCCTGATTATCATCTACTCAAGAATTGCTATGAACATGTCTACTTCTGAGCTAATTAACCAGCATGATCTACATGATTTGGCTACGATCACAGCCGTTGAATCAACTGATCAGTGGGATCCACTTAGCTGGAGAGCAGGGCATAACCAAGTGTGAAAGACGAGGTCAAACAACGTGGGGGACTATCAGGGCTTTAACTGTCCAACCCCACTAATCAACCCCACGCGAAGGAAGGTAACTAACTTAACTGCCATGCCACTTTGCTTCCCTTATAACTTGAAAACCCAGAGTTTGCTTTCAGTTTGGTAGCTGAGTTTCGAGAGATTTTTGAGGCTTTCAGGAAAGGAAAAACATGGGTTCTTTTTCTCTTCCAAAACTCTGCAAAAACAGTGCTTTGTTTTCTCTGGTTTTGATCTTCATGGTCATGGTTGCTGCTACTTCTTTTGAGTTCAAGGTTGGTGAAGAGAGAGGGTGGAGGAAACCAACTGGGAATGAGTCTGAAACCTACAATGAATGGGCTACCAGGAACAGGTTTCATGTTGGGGATTCTCTTCGTAAGTTTACACTATACTTGTGTCTACAAAAACAGTACAGTTTAGTAGCGGAAACAGATTAATCACTAGTTTTGTCACTTATGTTTTGCTTTTCTGTCATTAGATTTCAAGTACAACAATGACTCGGTGCTGGTGGTGAACAAGACAAGCTACACCAAGTGCAGTGTGTCTAATCCAATCTTTAAGTTCGAAGATGGGGACACTGTGTTCCAGTTTGATCGATACGGGTTCTTCTACTTCATCAGTGGGGAGCGCGGTCACTGCAAAGCTGGTCAGAAACTGATTGTTCGGGTGATGGTGCACCCTGCAATCAGTTCTCCTCAGCCTGCACCTTCACCTAATGGGGATGATGGATCTGATCATGATGGGGGTGGTTGGGACTCATTTTGGGGGCCGCCACCTCAGAATTCTACTATCAAGCTGACGGTTGCATCCTACTTCATGACTGCTCTTGGGGGCATGTTGGTTATTATGTATTTGCTAATGTAGTATATACTATCTAGTTTAGGAGCTCTTATTTGGTTTCGTTCCTTACCTCCATGGTTTGTTTTATTTGATATTCTTATAACTATTTTGTGCTTTCTGTTGTTTAATGACTGTTTCTGTCATGAATTTGGTTACAATGTAGTTTGATTTGTTGCCATTCTTTTGCCTTCTTTAGCCTTTCTCCCCTTTAGATTTATATACATCTGTTGAGCAAGCTTGAAAACAAAGAAAGGATTAGCCAGTACACGGGCAGTCAGAATCCAATGTCAAGAATATATAAATTTTATTTCATAGACAAATTGTTCATGTACAGAAGATGGCTTAAAAATTGCCATCAAAATGTGATCTCACACTTCTAAATTTTATCATTGTACTCAGTAATCCTAACATTTGTATACAAAAATCTCAATGTGAAAGTAAGAGGAAAAAGAGCTCAAAAAATGGCCTTTAATTTAAGCCTTGAGTTACAAATTAGTGGTTCTTCTAATCTTTTCGACTTTAAGAAGAGAATCGATGATCTCATCACATGTCAACTGCTTATTCGATGAATCATGTACTACATCCTCTGCCTTCCTTATCTTGGATTTTTCAACAGTCTCTGGAGTATGATCCAGTGCATTTTCTAGATGGAAATGATTATCCTCTTGCCTCTCCACTACATCCGATGGCAACAATTTGGTCTTCCATTTGATACCTACAGCCTCCGCTTGATCTGCGAACAACAATTCTGAGACAGGTGATTCGCAGATATCTTTATATGTTTCATAACTAGCAGCATGAGTATTTCCACCTTCCAAAAGTTGTGAAAGAGGATGCAGAACAGAAATGGCATCATCACTTCGTTCTAGGCTTTCCTTCAAAATCAGAAAGTCTAAGACCAATTCTGCCTTGCTGAACTGAACAAACACTGCAGTTTGATCCATTCGGTAGATGGAAATAACAGAAGTAGGGCCAAGGGTTTTGCAGATGCATTCTCTTATCACACTTGGTTTTAGTTTAGATGGGAATCCCCAGATTAAAACAATGTTCTTGTATAAAATCCGTGGAAACCGCTTTCTGAGGATATTAGAACCCAAAAATTCTGCAGTCCTGCTACCTGTCCTTAGATCAATAATATCTCCATTAATCCAACTCAGATATAGAAGGTTCATGTGCTTCTGGAGCTTTTCATTCTGGACTAGATTTTCAGAAGTTGAATAAAGTTGAAAATCAATGTCTAGATGACTACAGACCTGAGCAAACACACAGCCTGTCATAAAAGCATCGTAGCCAGCCTCATGCTTGGCTCCAGAGTTCCAATCAGAGGACCTGCAAGTTATAGTCTCAGTGTAAAAGGACCACCAGATGGCTCCTCAACTTGGGAGAGGCAGCAAGAGTAGCATTATTGATTCATTATAAATGTTCACATTCAATATGACGTGGCTGTGTTTAGTTAATTAGTCTTAAAAATGATACAGGGTAATGAGATCTCTCAAGTAAATTAGCGAAAATAAGCTAATATTAAGCTATATAATTCGATTGAAAAACTAGCCAGATTTTGATGGGGGAGAGAAAGGCGAAGGATAGAGAGGGAAGTGCCAGCTACTATGGTAAAATGAATCAAGGGCTTTTAACTAATATATTATAGAGAGTAAGTTAGGAAAGGGAAGGCAAACCTCATTTCATCCACATGGACCTCAACTTTAACACATGGCTGAGAAGACTGAACTTTACTTTTAAACCCATGAGCAATTTCTGGGCATAATAAGGAAAAAGCTGAGGACAATGATGTGCTTGATTTCTTCATCCGTCGCTGTAGTATGTTGTCAGCATTCAATAGAATTTTGGTGTCAATGATATTTGGGAAGTACTTGTTAACACAGGAGACAAATTCTTCAGCAGTCAAAGGAAGAGGACCTAGGAATTTGCTGTGTATGTGGGCAATATCTGTCTCACCACAATAAAAGCATTTCAGTAATCTATCAGACTAATTTGACATCTTCATCTAACTGAGACTAGTGTGCATACCCAGGATGCAATTGTGGCCAACAATCAACTTATTTTCCGAGGAAAGGAGATCAATCACATGACGGAACCCCACTGCAGCATGGATCTTCATTTCTGTACTTCTGTAATGCTCATTCTTCACCTCCTCCTACAGAAAATCAGGGCACAAGAGTAGAGTCATCACAACATGCAAATGATGCCACACCAAATGCAGCTGTCAGATTCATACTTAGTCTCAGTATCTAATTCAGCACCATCAGGTTTCTGCATGAGATGACATCATACAAACATCCATGTCTTGAAACTCCATTTTTTTTTTCTCTTAATTATTTGCTCAGCTTGTGAAATTAAAGTTTCAGAAAGTATTACCAGGCCAAAGACAAATCCATTCTACATCTGGAAGGAAACAAACATAATAGAATCTACAATTCTACCTTCTACATTTTAGAAACTCCTGTAACATATAACTATGAACTAGTGTTTTGTATAAAAGAAACAGTTGAATATTCACCATCTAATATATGGAACTAATTGACAGATCTTCCTCACAGATGTGATGTGTCTTACCACAAGTTTGTCCTTATCACTCTCTGAATCTGTAAAAACCACTAATTCTTGTGAAGAACTTTCACCATTGAAACGAACATAAACAAGATCTTTGAAATGCTTCCTTATGACCTGCAGGGTCAGTTTCCTAGATTAAATCTGATGTCCTCAGTAAAGACAAGATAAAGCCATTTAAAAGATAATTCTTGTTAACACCATATATTGATGATACAAGAATGAAATGGTCTTCAAGAATGTTTCCAAATGAGAGTCACAATGAAGAAACTGAATGTAGGAGATCAATAAAACGAGAAGACATTACAAACAGAACCAGAGAGAGATGCAACAACATTTACCATTCGTATCAGACTGAGTTGATGAGAAGTGAAACCATTCAAACTCAGAGCAGGACGCATCTTAAAGAAAACTGTTTGAAATTGTTGATTCAAGTCATTTGAAGCCCCTTGATCTTGAGGCCCTCTACTCCTATTCTGTAACAACTCATCACGCCATTCACTCAATCTTTTCTTCATTCTTTCAGTGAAGAGAACATCTGCCACTCTGACCAAGGGTACATCCATAGTCTCTCGTAAATTATGTGACGAATTCACTAACTGCTCTTCATAAAGTGATTTTAATCGTCTTCGGGCCTCATCTTCTTGTCCTCTGGATAAGTAAGATACTCCTGAGATGTGAATTCTCAAAGTAAGGACAACTTAGAAAACACAGACACAGAAAATGTACCTCAAGCATTAAAGGAAACAATGACGAATTGGGACATCAAAGATACATAAAATACCTTCATGTATGCAGGCATTGAAATCAAACTGGTATTTAGCCAAAAAATCCATTGACGTCGTCTGGCAGAGGAATTCATAAGATGGTCCATCTAGTGGAATCTCTTGACGAGGAAATACAAAGAAATTGTGCCTGTCAAGGGTTATTAAACAGTCGAATCCATTAATAAGAGACATCATTCAAAGATTCAATTTTGCAGATTAAAGGGGAACAAAGCAATGATCCTACACCCTTTCCTCATAGCAATTACGATGAATTTACACCAAAGTTAGATACATCATTCAAAGATTCAATTTTGCAGATTAAAGGGGAATGAAGCAATGATCCTACTCGCTTTCCTCATAACAATTACAGTGAATTTACACCAAAGTCCTATATTTTCTTGTTCTTTTTGCTCTCCCCTGTTCTTTGTTAACTTTGCCATACATAGTTCTCCACAAAGAGCTCAAATTGCCTTCGTTTTTTTCCTTCTCTCTTAATTTATCATCAATCAAACACTTAAAACAGCTCAAATTAAGCTAAAATCAATCATAAAAAACCATTTTTTTCTCTATAGTAACAAGAAATGACCCTTCTTTTCACCCTGAAATGGCATTAACAATATGTATAGAAAGAGCTTAATAAAACAGAATCACATGAGTTGGGAAGAGAAGACTAACGGGTGAGCAATGAACGATTGCTTAACCGAGTCCCAATGAAAAGGGCAAACTCCAAACTGAATAACAGCGAATTTCTCGGCCGAATCTTTGACTTTAAGATACCGAATATCGAACCGGTCAAACTCGAACGATTCCCGCCACGGCGCGCTAGTGACCCCCGTCATTTCCAAGTCGATGGCCACAAAGTCGGCTGCTCGCACGTGTGAACGGAGCTCAACGAGGGCCGAGTCGAAGTTGGATCTGGTCACGTGCTTTAGAGGGAACGTCGGGGAAGGGGAAGAACAGGTGCTGGTGCTGTTGTTGGAGAAGAACGCACGTGTTAGGAGACGTGAGAGGATTAAGGCCCTCTTGGGCCACTGTTTTGTGGTGTTCATCGGAGCATAGCGGTGGCATATGGCAGAAGCGGCGGCGGCGGCGGCGGCGGCGGTGAGGGCTGTGGTGGTGATGGGGTTTTAGAAGGGGATATCGAGATTTGGTTTTGGGTTTTTGGGCCGTGGTTGGCCTGGGGACTTAAGCCTTTAAGATATCGCAGGCATACGTAAAAGGCAAAGCAGTTGGCAAAATGATGTCGTTTCTCACATATTTTGGGATTTTCCTTCTATAATTATAAATAAAACTTTCAAATAAATTAAATTATTTTGAAATTTTTTATTATAAATATTTTTTTATTTAACAAAATTTAAATTCTTAATTACTATTTATTTTTATTTTCGACTCACATTTCATATACAACAACATATCTTGTAAAACATTTTTCACATCTTATAATTTAAAACAGTTAATATTTTTCTTTTCTAGTAAAAATAAAAAATATATTTAAAAAAAATCGAGGTATTTCTTTGAATTTAAATTACGACACGATGCTTTAAATGTGAGTAACTCAATTGAATTGCATTCATTAATATATATATATATATATATATATATTCAATATGGCATTTTAATTTCATTATTTATATGATAAAATAAATTATTAATTTTGGTTAATATTATAACTCAACATAATGCATAATAATTTCATAAAAGAAAAAGGGTCGTTTTAAGTGAATATTATTTGTTTATTAACTTGAATTAATTCCTTCTTTTTCAGCCTGCTTGAAGCAAAAGTATGAAGCTGTTAGAGTTTGGGATAGTTTTATCTCTGTTTTTTGAATTAATAATTATTTTAAATATGAATAAATCTCAGCTTTTTCAAGATTTTTAAAGCTTTGTTGGTTTAAATCAAACTTTCTAAATTTTTTTGTTTTTTTTTTTTTGAAATTGAAACTTCCTAAATATTAGGAACTCTTATTACATAAGGATTGTTCAGATACCTTTAAATACCTGTTCATGCAAGAACCTGAAAGTAGTTTGACATTGCAAAGTTAACGAAAGAACCTTACAGCTTTATGATCAGTGTGATGGGTGACCACCGTTTTTCCCGGAGGGATTGCGTCATGAAGAAGCAGAGCGTTGTGGAAGGAAAGAAGAGGGAGAGAGGGAAGGAGGATCCAGAAATCAATGCCATGTTCGATGCTGTCAAGAGGAGGAGGAAGGTCGAGAAAAGTTCTGAAGAAATCAGCTTGTTTGTCGAGAAAGTACTGGCTGAGCTCACGATCGTTGCTGAAGACGATGCACAGCTCAACAGAGAAGGCCCACCTGCCATCAACAAGCTCAAGAAGTTGCCATTTCTTACCGAGGTTTTGTCCAAGAAAAGCTTTCAGCTTCAGTTCTTGGATCATGGGGTCCTTACTGTCTTGAAGAACTGGCAAGAGCCCCTTCCTGACGGCAGCCTGCCGAATGCCAATATCCGTGGAGCAGTTCTGAACATCCTGGCAGATTTTCCGATCGATTTAGAGCAAGATTACCGACGAGAGCAGTTCAAGAGGAGCAGTCTTGGAAGGGCGATTATGTTCCTATCGAAATATGAGGAGGAAACAGTTTCCAACAGAAGGATCGCTAAGGATTTGATCCACAGATGGAGCCGAAGCATCTTCAACAAGAGTACAAGGTTCTCTGACCTGAGAAATGATGATGATGATATTCATGTTCCCGTGATGCAAAAGCCTGTGAGCAAACCTGCAATGGCGGAATTAAAGGCTTGTGATTTGGACGTCAGTGTTGCCAAGGAGCATAAGCTAAGTTCCCGATCATCTTCCATGAGGCAACATGTTACAAGGCCCGAGCCAGCTTCACTTGTTTATGCAGTACGTCCCCAATCTAAGTACAACCCAGAGATAGCCAGAACTTCTTCTAGACAACAACGAGTACAAGGAGACTCTCGCCAAAGGATAGAGCATAGGTTGAAGCAGTTGAAAGCATCCAGAAAGAAGCCGCTGCAAGCTGCAAAGCTTAGTGCTGAGGGTCGTCGTACGCTCCTAAGTGTGTGATGTCAAACAAGTTCTTATATGTTCTATTGTATCTTCTTGACAATTTTGCTGTCAAAGAAATTTTCTGTAAATTTTAAGTTGTTATAAATCAAGTTAAATTTTTTAACATCATTGTTTTTGTCTTTGCCATTGTCATGAGCATCAGTTTCTACCACCAAGCTTTCTAATCATCAACATGCTTTTCATGTGATATTTAGCAAGACTCATCATCAAAATTTCAGTTGATTGTCAAACCAAAAACATAAGCAGCTTGCTGTAAATCATCCCCGCTAAAATGATGATAACTCGATGAGTGTTCCCTTGCGGTTGAATAAAATACCCTGCAGTCCTAAGCTTGATAGTATTGCTTTCCTCTTTCTGGTGTAGTATGAAATGCAAAGAATTGTTCTGCCTTGCATACCCCAAGCCAAGGAGAATGCTTCACATCAACAGTCTTGGTTGCATATATGTTGTTGATTTCTACCTACAATCCCGTTTTACAGCCTCAAGGAGGTTGAGGACTTGATGAGGAGGTAGAACCTCCTTCATATGCAGAATGCCTCCAACTAACTTGCCTATGCTTAGCTGTTTCTCCTCATAACTGGCTGGCTGTGTCTTGGCCTAGCTACTAGATCGAGACTCTGTATCCAAAAATGCAAAAGTCCTGTCAAAATCAAGTATTTCTGGTGTTTTGCTGCACTGTGACAAATGCAGAACCGAGGCCATTAAAATTTATCCGCACTGATTAGCTGAGTTTAGTCTTCGTTATATACTGCAAATCTTAAGGTAACCAGCCATGCATTCATCATGGACAACTAAAACGTATGGCATCTTGTATTTTCCTTTTTGCTGATCTTTCTGCTTCTTCACGTCCTTCTTTTTCTCCTTGAACTCAAACTCCCTGTCTCCTGATGAGATGACCACTTAGACTAAGTCTGGTAATTGTTTTATGGTTACCTACTTATATAAATTATCCGAAAATGGCTTTTATGCATGCTTTCAAAAGACTTCAAACCTGTCAGCCAGTATGGCTGAAAACGTCAACCTTGCTCAAGAGTCCCAAAATAGGTTACTTCTTTTTCTGTTACATTCATGTATATGCATATCAATATTCCAATTGGAATAAGTTTTACTTGCAAAAAGAAAGAACATACGTATAAGGTTGAGTAAGCCGTTTAACGATGACGCTCGATGCAATTATTATGAAAAATAATTACAGTTCTGATGAGAGGAGATACTAGGGTTTATGACAAAAGAAATGTTGAATCATCAGAAAATAAAAAAAAAAAAGAGTATTAAGTATTTCATAAGGGAAATACTAGTGTTTATTATTATTTTTTTCCCAGCATCCATTATACACTTTCACAAACGAAAAAGACTGTTACATTGTATCCTGCCAATACTAGGAATTCTGTCCAAGCAGACCCATGTGCAAACGACCTGCTGGTTTAAATTCAGCTTTAACGTACCATGAAAAAGCTCCTCGAGCAGCTTCCATTGTCATCACCAGACTGCAAGCTTTAGCAGTTTGCCTGGTAAGCAATATATCAGGCTACAGAATCGGTATGATCTGTTTCTTAAGGGCCTCCCACAAATCATGCTGAAGCACTGGTAAGATCTTTATTCTTCGGCACTGTGTCCTTCTAGGGTTAATTCAATGAAATCAAGTTGATTTGATAATGCTGGAAGCATGAGCTATTCACTGCAGTGGCTCAGTATCAAAGAGAGAACTCAGCCATGTAGTGAGCTCTTCACATAGACCATCAAGGGTTGCTGTACTCTACTCATTTCTTCACAAAGCCCGTACAAGACGAGCTGCAAATGCTCCATCTAGCGAATGTTTCAGCGGATTAGAGAGATAGAAACCTTGTTTTGTAACGAAATCTGATGGTACATATCTATCAACAGGATCTATTCTGAATTCCTGAAAAAGGAAAGTTAAAAAAATAATCAATTAATAAATAAAATTCCAGCACAGAAGTTGAGGAAAAAGCCATTGCTCTTACAGGATGCCTGCCAAGAAAAGCATCCACCCTGTCTTCATTCTCTTCAGGATCAATGGAGCAGGTACTGTATATTAACACACCTCCCGGGCTCACCAGTCTATAAATGCAGAACAAATGCTGTAAGGTTAAAAAGTTGGAATCATACATTCAATCAAAGAGTAAGACCCTATGTGCAGAGGAGAACATAGATCTCACGTGGAAGCTGCATCAAGTAGCTCATCCTGCAAATTCTTAAGTTGTTCCAGATCTTCTAAACTTCTATTCCATCGCAAATCTGCTCTCTTCAAAACAGTAAATGAAAGAAAGAGTGGTTAGATATATCTCATCTCCCCCAAAATAGAAAAGTAGGTAGCTGGGAGAGTGGGCAGAAGAATTAGAAGAAAATTTTAAATATTTGTAAAAGCTTGCAGCAAGTAAACATTTAACAATTCATGGTCATATCATGTTACCTTGGAGAGAACCCCAAGTCCAGAACAGGGAGCATCCAACAAAACTTTACCAGATTTGAGTAGACTATTCTCCTACAAGTTTTAGAGTAGAGAGATACGTAAGCAGTTCCATATTTTTTGAAAAACTAAGCTTTTAAGAGAAGAACTTACAGCAACAGCACGAAGATCAGCATGGATTGTAGCAACAACACCATTGACTTTTTGCACAACAGCTGTCTCTCTAAGGATTCTCAAGCGGCCTTTGTTTATGTCAATTGCATGCACTTTGCCTAAGAATCAAATAAGGAATCACATCATGGTTTTCAGCAGCCAAAAAACATGAATTAGTTTTGGCATCATCTTACAATGAGAAATTATAAAATTAAATTAGCATGGCCAGAGAAGTTCTAGGCCATCTAAATGCAGATTGTGTTGTGCTTCTTTACATTAACCAAAAGATTCTGCTAGATCTGAACTTAAGGTGGAAGAGCTCATTCTTATTGTGTGTGTATACATACATGTATAACAGAGGGAATAATATAAAATTGAAATCTTCTTGATGCCTGAAAATGACTGCTAAGTAAGTTCAATTAATAAAAAAGAAGAAAGCTGCAATCAGATAAAGTTGGCAGGTATACCTTTTCCACTCAACCGAGATGCCATGTAAAGAGTCTTCCCTCCAGGAGCAGCACAACAGTCTATAATGTCATCACCCGGTTGAGGATCCACAACAGAAACTACTAGACCTGCAATGAGATTTTGATATAATTTAAAGGACAAGTTGTATAAAATCCAAATCAAGTTCAGAAGAATTTTTCATTGATCCGGAAATGAAAAGTGCTTTACCAACATTTAGTTTTGCAGGGACATCTAAGTACCCCACAGGAACTTTACATACTGTAATGTTATTATAATATAGAATACCTTAATTACAAACCTTAACTTTTTCTCTGTCCAAATAAGCTTTGCGTGAAACCTAGGCTGAAGACAGTGAACCATACCTGCACTTTCATCCTGGACAGAACAGAGACCTTCTTTCAGCAGCCCAGCTCGTATGACATTCTGAAATTGGACGAGTATGTAATCAAGATACTGTGCACTAAGCAGTAATTTCAGTTTCCAGATAACCACCAATATTGGTAGCTACAGACGCAACATGTAAGTGCCTTTTTGGTAGGGAACACTGTGATCTGCTCTCACAAAGAAAAACAGACTGCATGTGCTGTACCAACAAATTTCAACTTATAATTCACATTTGCTAGCCTCAAGCATAGACTTCAAAATGGCACCATATGATGTATGAGCATAACACCTAAGTTGGAAAAATTTACATATCAAACTCCTACCTGCAAACCAACTTTTAGATGCACAAAATCATCCAAATGCAAAGAAACCTCATGTGGGACCTGCAGTCAAAATAGAAAACTAATATTTAGGGGCATAGCATACGACTGTGTTATAACAGATAAACTAGTCCGTGCATACTTAAGCATGAGTAAAAGGGTAGGGGTGAAGGAAGAATTACATAATAAGAATTAAGTTGCATTAAGGTGAAAGACCTTATTAATGCCATATTACCAGAAGCAATACTATCATGTGTGTTTCAAATATTTTAATGGACTGTAGGAAAAATGATAACTAATAAGGCAAAGAATATGGTAATCAAGCACCTTCAAGGAATTAAGCTGCGTCACAAGGTCATCTCTAGTAATTCCCTTTCCAGAGTTTGCCCTGATATCAGTCTGGAAGAATTAGTCTTAGAATCAATATGACATGAATATTATATTCAGAAAGCAAGAAAAATGTGACAGAAAACCTTAAGCTGAAGCTGGGGTCACTATTGTTCCACATCATCAGCCGAATTGCTTCTTCTTGCCCGAGATACTTCGTCCATCGCCTTACCATCCACTAGAAAAATTAGATAAATAGGCAGGATAAAAGTTAGCACTAAGGATATGGAGAAAGTTAGAAAATTTATGAACTAAGACAATTGTTTTATGCTTCAATTTACCAACTCATGATAAACCACAGATCAAGTTACCAGTCAGGATTATGAAATTACCATTGCACATTATCCTATACATATTTCTAAAATAACTACAAGCAGAGGTTTACAATCGCAGACTTACAACAGGATGAGAATAAAGAGTAGCAAGAGCACGTGCTTGTGCACGATCATCACCTTCCAATTTGGGTAGAGGAAGGGAGTTATTTTCCTGCAAACCCCAAGTGAAGAAGACATAAAAAACCTGATTATTGCTCACTATTTCAATCACATAAACAGAAAGTGGCAAACCTTAACCAAAACTAACTTCCGGAGGATCCCATTGACCATGTTACCAGCACCAGGCCGAAGAGCAACCTTTGCAAGTTTCACATTCTGCACTTATACATAACAAAGTTGACAACAGAAACGATTTTAGTCCAAAACCTTATCTGAAGTAAGATCCAAATTGACATATGCCATCACATATAGAGCTTTTTAAATAAAAATATTTGATGGTTTCACATGGAGGATCTTCAAGGTAGAAAGAAGAAAGAAACATGCAATTATCAGAAAAATGAACAGATTTTACCTCATCTACAACAGCATACGGTGGCATATTAAGCTTGACAATTTCGTAGAAACCAATACGGAGAATCTAAAAGAATAGACGAGAAAAATTAAATACATTCAAGTTTCAACACTCCAAATTGACTCGGCTTTGTTTCCAAGCACATAAGCAAGTCATTCAGAAGGGGAAATTAATAAACTAGTATATTGTTAGTGCAAATGCTGAGGCAAAAAAAGATTGTTCGTGCAAAAATTGAAAAATCAATAAAAGCCACTTTATGAAGCTGACTTAAAACTATTAAAATAAATAAATAAATAAACCACATAAATATTGAAGGAATATTATGAACAGAGCCCTACAGAATATCTGAAGAAAAAGAACCTGTAAAAGAAGTGGTTCCATGCTGCTAAACACACTTTTATCATGGCATAGTGATCCAATCAAATGATCAAGATATCTCCTCCAACGAATGGTGCCTCCAACAATATCTGTAACCTATGACATTCCAAACATAATGACTTCTTTAAAAAACTTATTGCCATTTATTTAACTTGTTTAAGTTCATCTAGGAAGTCCTTCGAAAAAGCATCTCTAACCTCCATTAGAAGCAAGGAAACAAAATATACAGCCTGGTTAAACCAGTTTAAGCATTTTGATAAGTTAGATATAAAACACTCTTAAAAATCTCTTGATGACTGCCTAGACTAACATCGCACTAAAATAATAGAGCAACATTAGCACATGAAAGAAAAGAAAGGTAAAAGAAAGATGACCAATCTAAGATCTCGATCATCTAAAGCACGAGTGCGAAAGCCAAGAGTTCTTTCCACATATCCCATCTCATTATCACCAGAACCCTTTCCTTTCTCATTTAAAAGGTCAGCAAATGCACCGCCTAGCTCAATTCTCATCAACCTCACCGCAGATACTGTACAAGTCATAAAAAAACGTCCACATAAGAAAATCAACAATATAAGGTAGAATACTCTTAAGACCAACTACCTTGACCTTATATTTATTCTCAAAACAACCAAGAGTAAGAAATATGATATTATAAACATGATACTTATACACTTGATTGCTGATCAAGACAATTATTTGGATGGAAAAATACCACACTTATACTAGTAGAATTTCAAATCTTAAAAAAAGGTATGAAGTGAGTAATGCATGCACTTTTAAAAAAAAAGAGTAATGCATGCAATTGTAAACACAATTTCAACCATTCATTATGCCGCCTTAAAAATTGGCACAACAAAAATGAATTCCATAAGAAACCAGAGAGAGAAACTAAAATTACCAGCTCTATGGGGAGAAACCTCCAAATTCAACTTCTGGATTTTGTGTGAGGGACTGAGAAGACCTGAATTGTCACATTTTTTTATCATCAAAACAAGCAACATGAGACTACACTTAAAAGTTCTAACTCGTATAAATGTAACCCAAATTGTCCTACATCAGCTAAAAACCTGCAACCTAAAGATTCTACAAAAAAGATTGAAACTTGAGTTCCAGATATTTTAGTCTTCCATATTAATTTCTGGGTCTAAAAACTTTCTTTATAACAGTTTCTGGGAAAGAAACAGCAGCAAGCTACCTTTTTTAGCAGTAGAAATGGATATGTCAGACTTGTTAGTTCTCTTGGTGAGTTTCAATGGCCTGGAGGAAGTTTTCTGTGCTTGTGAAGAAGAAAAGACATGAAGAGGCAGCACGTTTGCCATCGATGCTTTGGTTTCTTGTATTGAAACACGACCAGAGCAACCCAACAAGCCTATGTTTTGTTCACTCTGGTTGTTTTTTGGGATAACATACGCAAGCAAACAAAAACGGCAAAACCCCGTCCGGTGTCGATGCCGCTCTTTTGATGCGCTGCAGAGCTCCAAAATGTGGATTGAGTTAGTCTAGCATGGGCCTGGCTTCAGCAATTAACAAAAACTCCTTTTGTCCATGGCCCGACCTGGCCATGAATGTTCGGTCTAACTTAATAACGAAGTGTGACCCTGAGAAGGGCGAAATGAACTCGGAATTAGACCCGCCGACCAGGCCTAGTAAAAGCCCTTTTGACCCCATTTATTAACAGAAAATGAATATACTAAAAGCCCTTTCGACCACATTCCATTGTGCAGCTGTCATCAGACCCTTGTCTTTTTGTCTCAGTCTTTCGATCTTCGATCATGATACATGATGGCATGATTCACTAACTCACTCAATCTTGGTCTTTTTTGTTCTTGAAGTCCTCGGCTGTCTGTCACACTCCAGTTTCCAGGCCAACTGAATGGCATCTGAGGCTGAAGTAGCAGTTTTTACGGACACAAACTTAGGCACTCACTTAGCCGTGGCTGTCTCTCCAGATACCACTGTTGGAGATTTCCAGAGTAAGCTTACAACAAACCCAATCTTCTTTTCTTGCTTCCCATTACATTTTGCTATCTATTTTCCATCTTTTTCCTTCTTCTTTTCCATTTTAGTTTTCCCAGTTGCAAAGTTGCTGGCTTTGCCATTACCTTATGTGGGGGAATTGCTGACATTAACTCATTCTCTTATGTATTGGAGTTACTCTTCTTTGACTGATTCTCTTGCTTTCCCTTTAGTTTATCGGTTGCAAAAAGCAATCATATATATTTTTATCCTTGAAATGTCCTGGTATATTTGATTTTGCCTCTTTCATTCCTGTTATTACGGATAGCTTCTTCCTAGTGTTCAACTTGATATCATTTGATGAGTAATGTTAGATTACTGTATTGTTATTGCATTTCTGCTCTAGATGTTCTAGCCCCTGCTCTATTTGTTAAAGCAATTAGCATGTGCCAAAATCTTATCTGTAGGGAAACTCGAGAGAATGCACTGCAGTTGTTTCCCAAAATTGGGAAAGATCGAAGTTTATGCATTAATGGTAAATCTCATGTTGATCCTTTCCTTTTTCTTGATTTTATGCTGTTGATGGGTTCTTCTCCTTACAATTTTCCTGCCACTGTTCAACTAATAACTTGGCTGTATGTTCTGCCCTTTGTTTCCTGGTAGGTGAAGAGAAAATCATGCTTTTACCATCTGCCTTTATCTATGCCTATAAAGTATGCTTTCGAGCATCAAGAGGGAACGTGGTTCCTCCATATCGAAGCAAGGATTTTAAAAGCTTCAGATGGGCCATGCTTATCAAACTTTGCTGCTCCAGAAGTTGGAGATCATAAATGTGATGGCAACCATCTCACTAATTCTCTTGTTCAAAACATTGGACAAGTGGCCATGATAAGCGGTGGTAAGAAAGTGTCAAAGCTTTACAACAAGAGCTTCTGAAAACTTATCTTGTTTAAAGGAAGAGAAAGACTAACATCATAAAATATCAGGATCATGAAATTGAGAAGGAATACCTGAGTAAAAATAATGGAATTCGAAGTGTTAATCTCTTAACCTTTTTGCTTCTGAACATGAGGCTGAATCTGCAGATGCAGCAGAGAGGGACTTGAGTTCAATGACAAAGTATCCAACTAATATGTCATTGAGAGAAATATCTGCTGCTGGTATCATCAATGGATGCCTTTTGAACTGTAGTGGAGTGAGCAAACACGCTAACTCCCCAATCACCGGTAGAACCATTCAGAGTCTGCCAGAAGATCAGCCAAGAACCAAAGCGGATGATTGCTGCTCAAGCATTCAAATTGGTGACTCGCGACGATTTATGGTTAGAACGCCCCCAAAGCAATCATTGTTTTTGTTGCCTACGGCCCAAATGACTGGAACTCCTAGAGAGAAGTTCGTAGATAGTGAAGTTGGGAAGCGAATTATCATAGCCTCAAATAACATTAGAATTTCTGCAAATAAACAAAGACCTACAACTCCTCTTAGCAGATTCAGAGATGGGAAACTGTTACGCTATAAGAATTTATCTCTGGCAAAATTCTTAGTGTTTGAGATCAGTGACAGTGATGACTGAGGAAACCAATGATGCCTCCTGAGCAATAGGGAACGTCAATGCATTGTAATCCTGTTCTTCTGTGAAGTAAAATTTCTGCAACTGATTTCTTGTTGAGCTGATCCTACTTGCATGTTACGCCAATGCTCTCCTTTATTGTTGAGATCACATCAAGGTATGAAACACTGAAGGTTGTATAATTCACCAGGTGTTAGTAGAGTGAAGTCAATTGTCAGGGCTTCACTTTCATGTATAATTTAGTTGCAAATGCAGATAAGCCATACTTTTTAGAGCGAGAGACTTTAAGAACTTCAGTTTTTTGATTCAATGCTTTTGTAAAGGTGTCTGCATGATCCAATGCTCCGCGTGTGAATGGAATGGTCAAGGGTGGTTGAGCATGGACAGAACCAGTTCAGGTAGTTACATTATTGTTTGATGTGGAAATGTTTAGCAGAGTGATCATCAGATCAGGCCATTTTTCTTGCTTTTGGTGATCAGCGGCCATGGTTATAAGTTGGACTAATGAGAGGGGGGATAATCCACTCCTATGTATTACTCTCATGTTCTCAGTTAGGCATTCTCCATGATTTTATTTGTGCCTGTCTGCTGATGCTGTGCCATCTTTAATAGTACTAGCATTCACCTTCTTACTTGTTTTGTTATTTTCCTTTTAACTTTCTGAGTGTTAACGCCATCTAAGCTATTCTCTATTTGATCATATAGAGGCTGTTATGTTATCAGATTTAGCCACGTGGCAACTTCTGCATCCCTTAAAGCAATCTGTTTCCTGATAAAAAGAACAGAAATGGCCAAATGGGTTGGAATCTTACACACTGTTTGACATGCAGGTCAGTCCATGACCTGTAAAAGTATGAAATAACCAGTAATCCAACCACCCATTTTGCACTCATGGTGGCAGCTCAAAGCAATCGGGCTGGGGTTAGACTTCAACTTTTGCATCCCCTAAACCGATCTGTCCCCTTATAAAGCCAACAGAAATGGCCAAATGGGTGGGAATCTTACACATTGTTTGACATGCAGGCCAGTCCATGACCTGTAAAAGAATGAAATAGCCAGTAACCCAACCATCCATTTTGCACTATAGCACCTAAATCAATCGGGCTGGTGTTAAGACTTTAACTTATGCATCCTTTAAACCAATTTGTTTCCAGATAAGGATTGCAGGGCATTTTATTCAACTGTACGGGAAGGGAAGACACAACGAGTTATCATCATGTAACTTGGGATGATTTACAGCAAGCTGTTTATGTAACTTTTTAACTTCATTGCATAAAAACTTTTAAAATTTTACAGAAAAATTTCTTTGACAGCTAAACTGTCAAGAAGGTCTAATAGAACATATATAAATTTGCTTCACAGTCCACCACTTAGGAGCATACGACGACCTTAGCAATAAGCTTTGCAGCTTGCAGCCGCTTCTTTCTCGATGCTTTCAACTGCTTCACCCTCTGCTCTATCCTCTTGGCGAGAGTCTCCTTGTACTCGTTGTTTGTCTAGCAGAAGTTCTGGCTATCTCTGGGTTGCACTTAGATTGGGGCGTACTGTATAAACAAGTGAAGCTCGTTCGGGCCTTGTAACATGTTGCCGCAAAGAAGATGGTCGAGAACTTAGCTTCGCTCCTTGGCAACGCTGACGTCCCAAATCATAACCTTTACTTCCACCATTGCAGGTTTGGTCACAGGCTTTTCATCACGAGGAACATGAATATCTCATCATATCTCAGATCAGAGAACCTTGTACTCTTGTTGAAGATGCTTCGGCTCCATCTGTCGATCAAATCCTTAGCGACCCTTCTGTTGGAAACTGTTTCCTCCTCATATTTCGATAGGAACTAAATCGCCCTTCCAAGACCGCTCCTCTTGAACTGGTCTCGTCGATAATCTTGCTCTAAATCGATCGGAAAAATCTGCCAGGATATTCAGAACTGCTCCAGGATATTGGCATTCGGCAGGCTGCCGTCAGGAAGGGCTCTAGCCAGTTCTTCAAGAGAGTGAGACCCATGATCCAAGAACTGAAGCTGACACGTTTCTTGAACAAAACCTCGGTAAGAAATGGCAACTTTCTTAGCTTGCTGATGGCAGGTCGGCCTTCTCTTTTGAGTTGTGCATCGTCTTCAGCAACGATCGTGAGCTCGGCCAGAACTTTCTCGACAAACAGAGGTGATTTCTTTCGAACTTTTCTCGACCTTCCTCCTCCTCTTGACAGCATCGAACATGGCGCATTGATTTCCGGATCCTCCTCCCTCTCCCTCTTCTTTCCTTCACAACGCTCTGCTTCTCATGCGCAATCCTTCCGGAAAAACGTGTTACCCACACTGATCTAAAACTGTAAGATTCTTCTAACTTGCAATGTCACACTGTTGGTTCTGCCATGAACAAGTATACAAGTATCTGAACAATGAGTTCCTAACATTTAGGAAGTTTCAATTTTCAAATAAAATTTAGACAGTTTCAATTTTCAAATTAGAGACAAAACCCATCCAGACCTCCAAAGCATGTCAAACTCTAACACCTTCATGCTTTTGGTTCAAGCAAAGTAAAAAAAGAAGGAATTAATTCAAGTTAATAAGAAATGGAATTCACTTAAAACGTCTGAGTTTTTTCATCATATTTTGAGTTGTGGTAGTGTGGAAAGAGTGCTCTTTCATAGCTCCCATGGCCCCATTCAACCTCAAACGGTATGGCGTTCTGACTCTGCCCTGCCTGCTTTGCTACTTGGAGCAGAGGCTGTGAGGGATCAGTGGGTGGCTGGGTTGGCTTGCTGCCTTCTGTGGGATGAGGAAAGGGAAACACTTGCTTCCTGCTTGGTTGTTGGAGGAAGGAAGAACTGTAATGACAAGAGGAGCCACGGAAAGGAGAGTCGGCAGAAACAGATTCAGAAAGACAGGAGTCAAGATGCAGAAATGGTGGGAAATTTTTAAAAAAAAAAGTATTATTATTAATTAATTTTTATGAGTTTTTTTTATATGCATTAGTATCACATCAAAAAATATTAATTATTATTAATTGATTGAAGTTTTTGTATTATTATTATTTTTCCTTTTTGATTAAAGTTATCTTGCCAATTGTTGATTTATTTTGTTAATTAATATGTTAAAATTTTCATCCATTACTTTTTTAATTTTATATTTATTTATGATATACAAGCTTAATTTCACATATGATATTATTATGCATAATGTTGAGTTATAATTTTAAACAATGTTAGTAATTTATTTTATCATATAAATAAAGGAATTAATTAAAATGTCATAATGTTGAAACTTGTTGTTTTCACATCAGCATTGGTACAACAACATGCAGTCTGTCTTGCAGATTACAGTGTTCCCTAGCACAAAGGCACTCATAGTCATGGTGGCAGCTCAAAGCAATGGGGCTGGGGTTAGACTTCCAACTTATGCATCCCTTAAACCAATCTGTTCCCTGATAAAAACAACAGCAATAGCCAAATGGGTTGGAACCTTACACATTGTTTGACATGCAGGCCAGTCCATGACCCGTAAAAGTATGAAAGAACCAGCAATCCGGCCACCCATTTTGCACTCATGGTGGCAGCTCAAAGCAATGGGGCTGGTGGGAGACTTCTAACTTATGCATCCCCAAAACCAATTTGTTTCCTGACAAAAACAACAGAAATGTCCAAATGGGTTGGAACCTTACACATTGTTTTACATGCAGGCCAGTCCATGACCTGTAAACGTATGAAACAACCAGCAATCCAACCACCCATTTTGCACTCATGGTAGCACCTCAAAGCAATGGGGCTGAGGCTAGACTTTTTGTGAGTTGGGCTAGTCAGCCAAAGTCCAACCAGACCCATTTCTTCTTTACAAGGATCTGAGCCTCAAAAGGCTCAATTCCCATGTATGCATGTCATAAATTGGATCAAGTTTCCATTGAATTGGACCTGAAGAAAGGAATAATCTTTGCTGTAATTGCTGCCGCCCCTTTTTTATAATTAACTTTTAAGGAATCTGCTTCCCCATAGGAACAAGAAACAGGAACAGTCCTTCAAATATTTTATCTATGGGGCTAGATGGGATATATCTAAACCATCAATTTCCATGAATGAAACTAAGAACTTTCATTTTCTTTTCCCATTCCTTGTGAGCCCCAAACTCCATCTTTTTTCCTATTGATTCAATTAGGATTGATTTTGTGAAATAATTTCATATAATGTAATATGCAATGAAAGAGATATTATATTAAAAACTAAAATTTTTATGTTATTTCATAGCATAATTAATAACCCAAAGTTCCATTTTTGTTATTTCATGGAAAAATTTATAACCCAAAGTTCCATTTTTCTATTATAATTTGCCTAAAATGCTGCTTAAGCTATGGTACTATTAGCCCTTTTGTCTCTTTGACACCTTTCCTGGACCTTTCTTAGTCAATTTTTAATGTATAGCAAAATGAAAAGCCAATCCTTTTCATGCAAACAATTATAAAATAAAAAAAAAAGCCCTTTTATTTTTTTCACTTTTTGGTATTTTATATTAATTTAAATTCATTTTTATATAAAAAATTTAAATTCATTTTTATAAAAAAAAATAAGAATTGGGTTTTTAATTATTTAAAGTAATAAAGTTGGGAGGGGGGCAAGAGTCAAGCTTTCCACAACTTTTAACTTCCCTACTAAGTTTCCCACAAGAGTACATTTCACTTTAGATTTCAAATTTATATTTGAAAAAAGCATGACTATTTTTTCTATTTTTTGTTTATAATTCATCAAAATTTCCAATTAGTCCATTCTTAAATAATAAACATTTCAAAAATCCAATTTCTTATAAATTTCAACAAAACTTATATATATATATCAATTACAGTTCTCTTAATTATAATTACATTATTATTTTTTAATAAAATTGATAATTAGGACTATGGTCACAATTACTTGCACTAATAATTAAAGTTAAATTTAGCTATGAGAAATAATAATTTGACTTATATAGAACTAGCATTTAATTAAGCTGTTTTAAGTACCACAAAAAAGGAAAAATGATAACCACTCACAAGTTCTAAATAAGTTAAAAGGAATTAATATAGAGAAACGCAACTACCATTCTCAAAGAAAGCCAAAGAGAGATAGAGAAAGAGAGAGAGAGAGAGAGAATAGCTTTTATGTCTTTAAAGAGTATTTTATTATTATAAAAATTTTATTTTTTTGGAATATAAATATTTTATGACATTCAATTAATTTATAATTTTTTTAAAAGCAAATATAATAATTTAAAGTTCATTTTTTTTGAAAAAATAACAAAAGATAAAAAAATCCTTATTTAAAAATTTATTTTTTAGCAATAAAAAAATATAGGACATTCAACAAAATGAAATATAAAAAGCAAATTATTAAATAAATCTAATAGTTTGAAGAGTTTGAAGATCATATTTTGAAAAATTGCATAAAATAAAAAACAGTTTCCTTTCTTTAAAAATATATTTTTTTGTTCTAGCACTAAAAAATTATTTTTTCTTGAAATAAAAATATTTATAGCATTCAATAAAATGAAATGTAAAAAGTTTATTAGATAAATCTGATAATTTGAAGTTCATAGTCTTAAAAAAATTACAAAAAAATAAAAAATCCTTTAAATTTTTTTTTCTTTTAGTAATAAAAATATGTCTATTTTCTTGAAATAATTTTTTTTATGAAATGCAACAAAATACAACATGAAAAAATTATTTAAATTTAATATTTTTGAAGAAAAAACCTACTTAAAATTTTAAAAAAATATTTTTATTTTTTCTTTTTTAGTTTATTTTGTTCTAGCAATCTCTCTTATTATTTTTTTTCATAGTATCATTATTTTTCTGTGCCATTATAAATATTTACAAGACACTCCTTCTATAGCTTCTCCAGTTATTACAATTTCTTCTCCACTTCTCTCTCTTTTCTCTTCCTCTTCTTTTTCTCTCTCTCTTTCTCTCTTCCTTTCTTTCTTTGATCTCATCAAAACCCTAATTTCCGATCGCAAAATCCCACCTTTTCCCCCATATTCCCTTCTAATCAGCAGTCCCACTTTTTCCTCCCAATTTCAGGATCCTTCCTTGATTCTTGATAGTTTTAACAGTGTTAATTCAGAGGAAAAAGCCCTAACTTTTTTTAATTCAATTTCTACATTTCTTTTTAACTCTTCGATCAATTCTCGATTGCCTTGAGAATTGATCGATTCTTGAAAATCGTAACCTTCCTGAGATGTTCTGTTTTTGCTCAATATGAAGCTTAAGCGGAGGAGGTATTTAGAAGTGGTGAGTAAGAGGTTAATTCATTTGTCAATTCATTTTTATTGTATTTTTAGTGTTCTTTATTAATTTATTTGTTTTCTTGATGTTTTGGGTGTTATTTAAGCTGTTGAAATGCTTTAAAGTTTGATTTTTTCATTTCTTTTATTGATCAAGATTAAAGTTTAGTTTTTGATTGGTTGGAGTTTGATAGTAGTGGAAAAGTTTTGATTTTTCATTTATCTCTATCACTTTTTGATATAATAGTCTAGTTAAGTTAGTGAAATAGTTCATATATATATATATATATATTGAAATTACTAGAAGCATTTTCTAATTTCGGTTGATACCTTGTAAATTAGGCATATATAAGTAATGCTCTATTTGATTGATTGCCCCGGAAATGATAGGAAGTGAGATGAACTTAAATACATACTTTGAAATTCGAATGAAAGAGCCTTTAAATATTGTTTGGGCTTTGATGCAAATTTCCAGTTTGAAAAACCCAAATAGATTTATATGGTATCAAATAAATAACTAAGTTTGAACTAATATTGAGCTTTCTCTTTTTGACCTTTTATTGGCAACATGGTCTGTCATAGTGTCATTTGAGTAATTTGAATAAAATAAGTATTCTTGCTTTTGTTGTTGGTGTAATCCTGTCTGATGTTTGCAAAAAGCAAGGAGATACATGTAAGTACTAGTGTCATGGTCAAACAGGAGGCTATGGTGGCGCTAGCCAATTGGATAGAATATAGAGTGATCTCATAACAGTTTTGAATTCACATTTTGATTGTATAAATTTATAGCTACTTTGCTAAGAGGATTGATTGTTGAAAGATGAGTAATCTATTTTTATTGGTAATGGTTTTATGAGGAGGATTGAGGTTATGTTTTTTGAGAGTTACAGAAACAAAATTTAGTTCCTTTTGAGGTATGCTTATGCCTTTTCCTTGAAGAATGCAGTTAAAAAACTTTTCAGGCTGTCAATATACCGGCATTGGTGTATTTTTCTAATTACTTTTTGTCTACTTCTCTTTTCACAGTCACTTTTGATTTACTTATTTTGTCATCTGTTTATGTTAGTAAGATATGAATATCCTGGAATTTACTGATGCTTTTACCTAAAGTAACTGTTTTTCTTTTTGATTTGCATCAGCCTCCCAAAATCAGATCCTTCATCAATAGCGTCACTTCCGTGCCGCTTGAGAATATAGAGGAAGCCCTAAAAGATTTTTTTTGGGAGTTTGATAAGGTGCCTCTATAACCTTTATCTGATAAATTGTTGTAGTTTCTGTAATGCAGTTATTTACGCTTTGTTGTTATTGTTGCAGGGAGATTTTCATCATTGGGTTGAGCTTTTTAACCATTTTGATACATTTTTTGAGAAGCACATAAAATCAAGAAAAGATTTGCAGGTTGAGGATAATTTTTTGGGATCTGATCCACCTTTCCCCAGGGAAGCAGTTCTTCAAATTCTTCGTGTTATAAGAATAGTCTTGGAAAACTGCACAAATAAGCATTTTTATAGCTCTTATGAGGTATTTTTTTGGTCTTAGAATCTTGCATTATGTAGTGGGCACTTGATTTTTTGTTTTATAAAATATATTAGTGAAACTGTATGCTTTACAGTCCTGCTATCTTTTAGCATTTCTTTCCAAGTGAGGGATTAGTCACATGTTAATATACTAAGCATTTTCACTTTTTTGCTGCAGCATCTTTCATCCTTGCTTGCATCTACTGATGCTGATGTCGTTGAGGCTTGCTTGCAAACTTTAGCTGCGTTCTTGAAGAAAACAAGTGGAAAGTACTCTATCAGAGATGCATCTTTGAATTCCAAGTTATTTGCTCTTGCTCAAGGTTGGGGGGGAAAAGAAGAGGGTCTAGGATTGATTGCATGTGCTATACAGAATGGGTGTGATACAGTTGCTTATGATCTAGGGTGTACTCTCCATTTTGAGTTTTATGCATCGAATGAGTTCTCTGCCTCAGAACATTCAACCCAAGGTTTACAAATTATTCATTTACCTAACATCAACACTCATCCAGAGACTGATTTAGAACTCTTGAATAAATTAGTTGGCGAGTATAAGGTACCAACAAATTTAAGGTTTTCTTTATTGTCAAGATTGCGTTTTGCTAGGGCTTTTGGCTCTTTTACATCTCGGCAGCAGTATACACGCATTCGCTTGTATGCCTTCATTGTTCTTGTTCAAGCAAGCAGTGATGCTGATGACCTAGTTTCTTTCTTCAATAATGAGCCTGAGTTTGTTAATGAGTTAGTTACTTTACTGAGCTATGAAGATGCAGTTCCCGAGAAGATTCGAATTTTATGTCTGCTTTCTTTGGTTGCTCTTTGTCAAGATCGGTCCCGCCAACCTACTGTATTGACTGCTGTCACATCTGGCGGACACCGAGGTATCCTATCCAGCCTCATGCAGAAAGCCATTGATTCTGTTGTGAGCAATACATCAAAGTGGTCTGTTGTGTTTGCTGAGGCTCTGCTATCTCTTGTCACTGTTTTGGTTTCATCGTCATCAGGTTGCTCGGCCATGCGTGAAGCAGGGTTTATCCCCACTCTTCTACCTCTGCTTAAAGATACTGATCCTCAGCATCTGCATTTGGTCAGCACAGCTGTCAATATTCTGGAGGCCTTCATGGATTATAGTAATCCTGCGGCTGCATTGTTCAGAGACTTGGGTGGTTTAGATGATACAATCTCTCGCTTGAAACTTGAAGTTTCTTATGTGGAAAACAGTCCAAAGCAACAAGTTGAAGATCCTGATTGTAGTGGGAGGAGTTCACAAGTAGTTGCAGGTGCTTCAACTGAGCTTGACAACATGCAACCTCTATATTCTGAAGCATTAGTTTCCTATCATCGGCGGCTACTCATGAAAGCTTTATTACGTGCTATATCTCTTGGAACATATGCCCCTGGAAACACTGCTCGTGTTTATGGATCTGAGGAGAGTTTGTTGCCACAGTGCTTGAGTATCATATTTAGACGAGCAAAAGATTTTGGTGGGGGAGTATTTGCACTTGCAGCAACTGTCATGAGTGATCTAATTCACAAGGATCCTACATGCTTTTCTGTCTTAGAGGCAGCTGGTCTTCCATCTGCCTTCCTAGATACTATAATGGATGGTGTTCTCTGCTCTGCAGAAGCCATAACATGCATACCTCAGTGTTTGGATGCCTTGTGTCTAAATACTAATGGTCTTCAGGCTGTGAAAGACCGCAATGCTTTGAGGTGTTTTGTCAAGATATTTACTTCTAGAACATATTTGCGTTGTCTTACTGGAGATACTCCTGGTTCCTTGTCAAGTGGCTTGGATGAACTTATGCGCCATGCTTCTTCATTGCGTGTGCCTGGAGTGGATATGGTGATTGAGATCTTGAATGTCATACTGAGAATTGGCTCTGGTGTTGACACTTCAAATTTTGCTGCTGAATCTTCTGCCCCTGTTCCTATGGAAACTGATGCTGAAGAGAGGAATTTGATTCAGCAAGATGACAGGGAATCTTCAAGGACTGAGAGCTCAGAGCAAACGGCTGAGTCGTCTTCTGATGCTTCTTTGATGAATATTGAATTGTTTCTTCCTGATTGTATAAGCAATGTGGGCCGTTTACTTGAAACCATTCTTCAGAATGCTGACACATGCCGGATGTTTGTTGAAAAGAAGGGTATTGATGCTGTCCTACAGTTGTTTACCTTGCCTTTAATGCCTCTTTCAGCATCAGTTGGACAGAGCATTTCTGTTGCCTTCAAGAACTTTTCACTTCAGCATTCTGCTTCTCTGGCTCGGGCAGTTTGTTCATTCCTGAGAGAACATCTGAAGTCAACAAATGAACTTTTAGCTTCTGTTGGAGGAACTCAGCTAGCCATGGTCGAACCTGGAAACCAGACCAAGGTTTTGAGATCTCTTTCTAGTCTCGAAGGTATATTGTCCCTTTCCAACTTTCTTTTGAAGGGCACTACCAGTGTTGTCTCTGAGTTGAGCACTGCAGATGCTGATGTATTGAAAGATCTTGGGAGGGCATACAGGGAAATAATATGGCAAATTTCTTTGTCTAATGATTCCATGGCTGATGAGAAGCGGAATGCTGATCAAGAAAGTGAGAGTCCAGATGCAGCTCCGTCAAATGCTGCTGCTGGAAGAGAAAGTGATGATGATGCCAGTATCCCAGCTGTGAGATACATGAACCCTGTTTCTGTTAGGAATGGTCCTCAGTCTTTGTGGGGTGCAGAACGAGAGTTTCTTTCTGTTGTCCGTTCTGGTGAAAGTTTGCACCGTCGTAGTCGACATGGATTGTCCCGTTTGAGGGGTGGAAGGAGTGGTCGACACCTGGAGGCTTTAAATATTGATTCTGAAGTTTCTCACAACCTACCAGAGATGTCATCTCTCCAGGATATGAAAACAAAAAGTCCTGGCCTTCTTGTGATAGAAATTCTTAACAAGCTTGTTTTCACATTACGGTCTTTTTTCATAGCTCTTGTGAAGGGGTTTACCTCACCAAATCGTCGTAGAGCAGATGCAGGATCATTAAGTTCGGCTTCCAAGACCCTTGGTATGGCCCTGGCTAAAATATTTCTTGAGGCCCTGGGTTTCTCCGGGTATTCTTCATCTTCGGGTCTTGATACATCCCTTTCAGTCAAGTGTCGCTACCTTGGAAAAGTTGTTGATGACATGGGAGCACTGACATTTGACAGCAGGCGGCGTACATGTTATACAGCAATGGTTAATAATTTTTATGTCCATGGAACCTTTAAGGAGCTACTTACCACCTTTGAAGCTACTAGTCAGTTACTGTGGACACTACCATACTCTATTCCTACGCCAGGTATTGAACATGAGAAGGCAGGTGAAGCAAATAAATTCTCACACAGTACATGGCTGCTTGATACGTTACAATGCTACTGCCGCGTGCTTGAGTATTTTGTTAATTCTACTTTACTTCTGTTTGGGAATTCTGGATCCCAAACTCAGCTGCTTGTTCAGCCAGTTGCTGCAGGTTTGTCAATTGGGCTCTTCCCCGTTCCTAGGGACCCAGAAACCTTTGTGCGTATGCTGCAGTGTCAGGTGCTGGATGTGATTCTACCTATCTGGAACCATCCTATGTTTCCTAATTGTAGTCCTGGTTTTGTGGCTTCTGTTGTTTCGATTATCATGCATGTATACTCAGGTGTTGGAGATGTGAGACGAAATCGCAGCGGCATCTCAGGAAGTACAAACCAGCGTTTCATGCCCCCACCGCCCGATGAAGGTACCATTGCCACCATTGTTGAGATGGGTTTTTCAAGGGCTAGGGCTGAGGAAGCACTGAGACGAGTTGAAACAAATAGTGTTGAAATGGCCATGGAGTGGCTGATTAGTCATGCTGAGGATCCTGTGCAAGAGGATGATGAACTGGCTCGGGCACTTGCTTTGTCACTTGGAAATTCATCAGAGACATCCAAAGTTGACAGTGTTGACAAGCCAATGGATGTCATTACAGAAGAAGGGCGGCCTGCAGAACCTCCAATTGATGATATCCTCAGTGCATCTGTGAAGTTGTTCCAGAGTAGTGATAATATGGCATTTTCATTGACAGACTTGCTTGTAACACTTTGCAATCGTAACAAAGGAGAAGATCGTCCAAAAGTGTTATCTTTTCTTATTCAACAGCTGAAGCTCTGTCCACTGGATTTTTCAAAAGATTCAAGTGCATTGTGTATGATATCTCATATTGTAGCACTGCTTCTATCTGAAGATGGGAATACGCGCGAAATTGGTGCACAGAATGGTATAGTACCTGCTGCTATTGATATCCTGATGGACTTCAAGGCTAAAAATGAGTTGGGGAATGAAATTATGGCACCAAAATGTATCAGTGCTTTACTGTTGATCTTGGATAACATGTTGCAGTCTCGTCCAAGAATATTTTCTGACACGGTGGAGGGTACACAGACAGTATCTCAGCCTGACTCATCTGGGGAGCATGCTTCTTTGTCAGGTCCAGAATCAATGACACAGAAAAAATTAGCTTCGGATGCTAATGAGAAAGAATCTATCACCCCATTAGAGAAAACATTGGGTAAATCCACTGGTTACTTGACCATAGAAGAGAGTCACAAGTTGCTGCTTGTTGCTTGCGACCTAATCAGACAGCATGTTCCAGCAATGGTCATGCAAGCTGTTCTGCAGTTAT